GGACATTTCAAGGGAAAAGGAAACCAGGAAGACAAGGAATAACCTGACAAAGGACAGTTACAACAGAACAAGAAGAAGTTGGTTGCACCTTGAATCAACTTCTGTACAAAGTCATGGATATCGACAGATTCACAAAGAAAGGTCGAGGCAGTTTGTTGTGATATTATGTCCCTACCGGGATGAGAATTCAAGCAGGTATGTAAACATGGTAAACAAATACTCTTTTTACATATAAAGAGTTCATGAAAATTTGTTTTAGCACCATTTTAAGTCCTCTTATTTATAAACGAAAAAAGAGGGTCACTAGTATGACAAATTTTATTTTTGTGGTTTACCAGTACCAGTTATTGCTACTTAAGAATCTATGGACTAAATGACAGAAATAAACACTCAAAAAAAACTTACAGTAAGATTTTGCAAAAAAGAGTAGTACATGTCAGGGAACAAAATACATGGTCATTCTGCAGTAAAATCCATAGAAATTCATCCTTTTATAATTCTGAATCTATCATGCTTTGCCACTTCAAATAAATTATACCATATCAAGGATTTTGAAAAGGGGGGAGCCAATGCTTGGAGTGATTTTTGTAACAAGCCTGCATTTATCATATATGAAGCTTAATAAGGGGCCCTGGACCCCCTCCCCTAAATCTGTCTCAGAGTGCACTCACAGTACTGCTGAAGAACATAATATTTAATTTTGAGACTTGTTTACCAAATTTTGCATGTTTGTATCTTGCATTGTCTGGAAATGTTAAGTTTTATGAAATAAAGAGATGCATCACAACCCTGCATGCATAAGTTCCCAGGACTCTTTCAAATACATTGCTTCGCCGAGCGCAGCTGGATACGACCGCAGAGGTCCAACCCTGAACAGTTGGGGCAAAAATGGACACAATATTCGCACTTGATACAGGTCTGAATTTGGATTGTAATTCAATATTTGACACATAATAGGTTTCTGACACAGAATAACTGTAGTCAAAGAACTTAGAATTGGTTATATGATTTGAATTTATATTCAATTTTTTGCTTTTGTGCAATACACTATGCTGTTGCGAACTGACCTCCCCCCCCCCCCCCCCCCCCCCAAAAAAAAAGAAATTTTCTGAAATCTTGAGAAAAAATTGTCCCCCACCACCAATTTTTTTTACCCCCCCCCCCCCCCCCACACCTTTTCCAAAAAAAAATTCTTTCCCTCAAGATATAGTCATAATCTCAATTCAAATTTCCAATGGAGTTTGCAACCATAATAACCCATTTTAATACATCATAAAAGTCTTAAAATAGAAAATTAATATTCCTTAATCAGCATTTTTAAAATTATTAAAATAGTAACTTCTAAAAATAAATTGACAGCTAATCACCTCAAGACAATACAACATTTCTTTATACATAATTTAAAAGCAGTGTAAGGGAGGTAATTCAAACACAACATTGTACTTAAGTAATTGTCCATTAACCAGGACACCCTTGTTTTTTCTCACTTTTTTGCCCCTAATTCCTAAACGGTTTGAGCCATAACACCCCAAAGCCAATCCTAACCATCCCTTTGTGGTATTGAAATTTGTGGTATAATTTCAGAGAGATCCATACACCACTCCACAAGTTATTGTCTGGAAACTAGAAAAATGCTTATTTGGGCCCCTTTTTGGCCCCTAATTCCTAAACTATTAGGACCATAACCACCAAAATCAATCCCAACCTTCCTTTTGTGGTTATAAACCTTGTGTTTAAATTTCATAGTTTTCTATTTACTAATACTCAAGTTATTGTCCGGAAACCAAATGTCTTCGGACGACGATGTGATACCAATATATGACCGCAAAATTTTTTGCAGTCGTATAAAAACAGAAAATTTTCAATTTAATTGTCACTATGGTTACCTACATGTACATCCACTCAAACAATACTGAATTTCAAAGCAAAATAAACAAAATTGTCTCAAGTTTGTAGGGTTTTCATTTCCTTCTGTTTCAAAGAAAACCACAATCAGCTTGTACTGAGAATTTGAAAAAGGACATGAAGGTGAAAAATAAATTTCAGCTATTAATTGTGTATTCCAATTGAAAATTGAAGCTAACCTTTATGCAGATGTCTGTGTGTTCCCTGTAAATTTCAGCTATTAATTGGGCATTCCAATTGAAAATTGTAGCTAACCTTCATACAGCTATTAATTGGGCATTCCAATTGAAAATTGTAGCTAACCTTTATACAGATGTCTGTGTGTTGTGTGTAAATTTCAGCTATTAAGGGCATACAATACAGTAACAGGGGAGGTGATGACGTCCCTTACGTAAACTGTTATTTTTGGCAACGTCAAGCTGTGACATATCGGGAAAAGATGCATTTTTCGACTGATTTTTATCATTCAGACTGATTTAGCTTGAAAACGAGTTCATGGACCCCTCTTTTTAAAAATGACATTTGACTTGATTATGTGTGAAGATTATTTGTGCCAATTTTTATGAACAAATCACTGATGGAATTTTTTTAAATTAGATAAGTATACAGCAAAAAATGCTGCTTTTTGACTAAAGTCATGAAAATGTGATAAAAATTTAATGTATCCAAAGAATTGTTACATAAATTCAATGCACACTTATGTAGAGAAGATATTCCAAATGTTTTTACAAAAATCCACTTGCGTTTGTCTTTTGAAACAAAAAAGTTAAGTATGTCTTTCCAAAGGATAGAAATGTCCAAGAAACCGAAATTTCCAGTAAACGTCTAAAATTTCGACCCCATTTATCTCTAAAAGTAGCACATGAAGGTATATTTTTTATTACATATTTGAATTGACTAGGTGAAAAATAGCTTGTATGCAAACTTTCGTAAAAAAATCACCGTGGGATCAAAACTGTATCGTATGCCCTTAATTGGGCATTCCAATTGAAAATTATAGCTAACCTTTATACAGCTATTAATTGGGCATTCCAATTAAAAATTGTAGCTAACCTTTATACAGCTATTAATTGGGCATTCCAATTGAAAATTGTAGCTAACCTTTATACAGATGTCTGTGTGTTTGGTGTAAATTTTGAGAGTTCTCCTATGTTGTTATAAAAAGGAACAATTTTAAAGTATAATGCTGTATCCCGTACTAATAGTGTTAAAAAAAATGTTGGAAACTTATGATAACTTGAAAAAATAAAAAAATTGTGTGACTTTCCAGTTTTCGCCAATTCTAGTTGAACAAGTGATGTTTGTTGGATAAAGCAGCATTAACTGTGACCTATAATAATATTGATTAAAACTGTAATGTGAGGGTACTCAAATTGCACTTATCAGACAGTTTTAACCTTGTTGTTTTTAAAATCTGTCATCATATTGCATCGAAATATCACTGTAAACAAGGTAAAATGTAAGAGTTCCACATGGGATGCCCATCATACTAAACACAATAAAATATTACAGTTTATTCCATGGGGGTGCCATTAAATGCGAAAATGAGGTTAAGCTTTTAGGAGTAACAATAGATTTTAAACTAAATTTCAATGAACATGCCTCTATAATATGTAAAAATGCATCCAAATAGCTAAATGTATTAAAAAGAATGGAAAAACACCTGACTAAATTTGGAAAATTAACAAATTATTATTCTTTCATAATGTCCAACTTTGATTACTGCCCACTAGTTTGGCACTTTTGTGGGGATGTTAATACATACAAGATTTGTAAATTCAAGAGAGAGCTTTAAGATTAATTAATGAAGACTTTTCAGCAAGTTATGAAGATCTACTCTGCAAATCAAAATTACCATCTTTAAAAATTTGAAGAATGAGAAGTTTTCAAAATTATTAATAAAGCATGTCTTTCTTATCTTCACGATTTAATCCACTTAACTGAAAACTCTTACTCTTTTATATACCAGAATACAGCACATCTACCATGTGAGAACAACTGCATATGGCTTACAATCTTTAAGGTATGTCGGTGCTAAACTTTGGAATAAGCTGCCAGATGAGCTGCATAAGCAATCATCTTTAAATCAATTCAGGAACTTGATAAATTCTTGGTCTGGCAGCTCATGCCAATATAACGCATGCAAAACCAGTTAATTCTGCTCATTGTATTTAGTTTCATGCTTTTGTTTTCAAAATGGCATAGCAATTTTTTTTTATAACTTATAGCGCTTCTGCTAGTTTGTGCTTATGTTAGTTACCTAACAAATCTATATGTGCTTTTTTATGTTGCAAACACTTTTACTTTTGCTTTAGTGTTTTTACCCCATAAGTACATGCTTCAGTGTTTTTTACCCCACAAGTACATGCTTCAGCGTTTTTTACCCCACAAGTACGTGCTTCGGTGTTGTTATGCTGCTTAATACAACATTTGTGTTGTATGTATGCATAATATGAACTATTGCTTTGTATGTTTAATTGTATCATGTGTGCATGACTTGATATGTATGTTTTGACTTTTGTGTTTTGTCGATTTTAAAAGATCTTCAGAGCTTACATTTGTAATTATATTGCATATACCAAATTTAAATAAAGCTTTATGTCTTATGCCATAATATGGAACTCTTTCCTTTAGCTAAAATTCTTTTTTGATCTTTTGAAAATTTTCTAGTTGGAATTCTTCAAGGATTTTTATAGTAAGAACCTTCTTACTATAAAAATCCTTGGAATTCTTACATTAACAACTACAATTTAAAACAAAAAATATATAATATAGTATATTTTCTGACAATTCATTTCTACTTAACTTACATCCTTGATTATTGTGAAGTAATATAATTTTGAAAACACGTGAAAATGACAGTTTTACACCTTCCCATATCAAGTTGAAAGTTCATAGGGTCATGACCTGATATATACTGTCGTAAAATATATTAATTAACAAATAAATCTAATAATTAGCAAATAATATATACTATTAAGCTAAAATTTTCACTAATTGGTACTTATTATTAACACATAGCCATTATTTTATTTTGTTATAAACTTCTTTTACAAATTTTCATTGGGAATTTTTACGTCATCAATGTCCTTTCTTGGCGCGATCACCGGCATGAACCTTGGTTTGGTCCAGAAGAAGACCAATTTTACTCAATTTAAATAATTAAAACACGCCTTAAACATATACAATGGACGTCAACAGCATTGTAGAAGCCCTTCGGGCCACTATGGACATTAATAATAGAGAACAAGCAGAGAAACAGCTTCACGAGGTGAGATAAAACGCAAGACACGTTTTCCAAAATGGCCGACAACATGTGCGCTTTGACAGTTTTGAGTCATTGTAAAGAATATGGCACAACCAGTGATTGGAATCGACATTATTTTAGCCATATAAAAACTAATACTAAAATGTAAAAAGTAGTGTTTGAGAATTCATTGCCCTGATTGATTTATAGAAATAAAACGTTTGAATGATTTTTTAATGATTACTCATTTGTATATATTTAAGATATGATATCATTGAACAAGGAAATAATGTCATTATTTTTTAAATTTCCTTGATCTATGATGACAAATTAAGCCGTCTCACAAGCAAATATTTGTATCTCAATTTTAATGTTGAAAAAATAACTTCCTGCTGTCTTTTGCCTTGTTACAAATATGTTAATATGAGACATGTGACGCCTGATAAGCCCCTGAAAGTTATTGGTACATGTTTGTTTTGTTTATGCATCATACTTTCTCTGTGTTCCTGAAACATGTTTGTTCTGATGCTCAACGTTGGTGGTTTTATATTCTTCTTTTAGGCTGTCTGGTATTTAGATTAATTTAGTATAGAATACAATGTATATGAAATATTATTAGGCCAAAAAAAATTACCCGACCAACCCTACTATAAAGCGTTGACTCTTAAGTCATTTTATTTCCATCATAAACTGAAAAATTAACTGAACCCGTGTCAAAAGCAAAGTTCGAGTTGCCAATAAAATAAATCAATTGCCTGATACATATTAATGTTCACAATAGTGAATAGGACAAGTGATTTCAGGAAACTCACGACTCGTATTATGAATTAAACACTTTGCTGCCATTTTTTCCACCCAATAACCAAGGGAAATAATCCCAATCTGGCAATCATTAAAAATACGGGGAAACTCGGACCATAGCAAGATGGACTCCAAGACTCAAAATCCATGTCACCAAAAGAAATGGAAATACGACCTACCTATCCTATTTTTTCTAATGATGTTATCTTAAAACAGACATATATATTTTTTTTTTGGCCTAAGGAACCATATAGTTATTGTTCAAATTGGTCTTGTCTTAGTTTCTCAAATAATTTTGCATATAACAGGTTGACAGTTTTTTTTCTCGCACATTTTATACTTGAAATGGCACATCTTCATGAAAAATGCAGCAAATTTTCTAAAAGATGAATAGCTCTAACTTTGATTTATTGAAACAGGGTTCTCACTAAGGCGAGTCCATGATTCCTGGACTGGACTCACGAAAGTGTGTCAGGACTCATCATTTTCAAAACTTGAGTCCAAAGCTGCATCAGTGAGAAGTTACAAGGCTGTGAAAACTTCAAAAACTTACTAACGTTTTTAAAACTCGAATTGAAATAGGGTTTTTTGGAAGAAGTTGTTCCATTTTCTATAAATATGTGTCATTTCAGGTATAAAAGATTCAGTAAAGAAAACTTTGTTTAATCTGTTAATGATAACTGTAAACCAACTTATTTTCGCGGATAGTTTATTTTGGGTTTAGCCATTTCTCTCCTACTTCGCGGCGATTTAATTTCGCAATTTTGAAATATGTTTGATGTAGTTAAATAGGAAAGATCCAAGATTTACGTATTCATGGCAATTCATATTCACGTTTTTTTTTCTTCTCGCGAAAGTCGCAAAAATAAATCGCACACGGAAATTAGTTGGTTTACAGTACTTAACCGAGTGTTAACTGGATTGTTCCTCGTTAATGGGAATTGCTCCCCATTTGGTAAGTTGTCCCAAACCTGAATAATTGATAGCAAAAGTTTCCTGCAAGTACAGGACCACCAAATTTTCACTGGGACCACCAGGATAAAAAAGATCTGTCTGCTACAATCACAGGTTCATTGAAACATTGAAAAGAAAATGTTAATCTTGCAAATTTACTTTCACGGGTAAATATTTGTTACTTTCACGACAGCCTATCTCCATTATTCCCTAATTTTCCAGTGACATGCCGAATTTCCCGCCCTTCATTCTGGTAGACCCCTATTGCAGAACCTACCAATTATATTAATTATGCCCCACCTACGATAGTAGAGGGGCTTTATGTTTTTCTGTCTGTGTGTCCGTCTGTCCCGATTCAGGTTAAAGTTTTTGGTCAAGGTAGTTATTGATAAAGTTGAAGTCCAATCAACTTGTTTTTAATTTGTTCTCGTCCTGAACATGCATGAATTATTTGCCACTGGATGTAAAGCAAACACCAATCAATCTATAATGCCAAAATCATACCTAATGCAATTTAATGTATATTGATGTAGGTTCACAAGATAATAGGATTCTCTCCCTTGCTGTTACAAGTTGTAATGACAGAACAGTTAGACATGCCAGTGAGACAAGCAGGTAATATATATATATATATTTTCCAAATGAAAAAGAAGCATATAATTGAAAATTGATTGCCTTTATAAACTTGAAAATGTCCCATGTTCTCAAAAGATGACAAATATTAAAAAATATATTTATCAAAGTGCAGTGTCATTGTCAATTGATTTAATTCCAAATTTTGCAACATTTGCAATTTAAAAAAAAACCACTTTTTGTTGAGCCTTCGACTTAAGTCGAAAAAGCGAGACATAGCGATCCTACATTCCGTCGGCGGCTGCCACAAATATTCACTCTCTGGTTAAAGTTTTTGAAATTTTAATAACTTTCTTATACTATCCTGGATTTCTACCAAACTTGGACAGAAGCTTGTTTATGATCACAAGATAGTATCCAGAAGTAAATTTTGTAAAAATGAAATTCCATTTTTTCCGTATTTTACTTATAAATGGACTAAGTTTTTCTGCTGGGAAATACATGTATTACATTCACTCTGTGGTTAAAGTTTTTAAAATTTTAATAACTTTCTTAAACTATCCTGGGTTTATACCAAACTTGGACAGAAGCTTGTTTATGGTCAAAAGCTAGTATCTAGAAGGAAATTTTGTAAAAAAATAAATCCATTTTTGTCGAGCATTTAACTTTTGTCGAAAAAGCGAGACATAGCGATCCTACATTCCGTCGGCAGCGTCCACAAATATTCACTCTGTGGTTAAAGTTTTTGAAATTTTAATTACTTTCTTAAACTATCTTGGATTTCTACCAAACTTGGAAAGAAGCTTGTTTATGATCATAAGATAGTATCCAGAAGTAAATTTTGTAAAAAAAAAAAAATCATTTTTTCAGTATTTTACTTATAAATGGACTTAGTTTTTCTGCCAGTTAACATTACATTCACTCTGTGGTTAAAGTTTTTAAAATTTGAACAACTTTCTTAAACTATCTTGGATTTGTACCAAACTTGGACAGAAGCTTGTTTATGATTAAAAGCTAGTATCTAGAAGGAAATTTTGTTAAAATTTTGTTCCATTTTTTCCGTATTTTACTTATAAATGGACTTAGTTTTTCTTCCAGTTAGCATTACATACAGTCTGCAGTTAAAGTTTTTAAAACATTTATAAGATTCATAAACTATCCTGGATTTTTACCAAACTTGGACAGAAGCTACTTACAATCAAAAGATAGTATAGAGAGGAATATTTTTATTAATTTTTTTCCTCATTTTTGTTGAGCCTGCGATAAACAGCAAAAGTAGGCGAGACACTTACAAATTTTTTCCGTATTTTACTTTTAAATGGACTTAGATTTTCTGCCAGGAAACAACACATTCACTCTGTGGTTTAAGTTTTTAAAATTTTAATAACTTTCTTATACTATTTTGGATTTGTACCAAACGTGGACAGAAGCTTGTTTATGATCAAAAGCTAGTATCTAGAAGGAAATTTTGTTTTCTTCCAGTTAACTTTACATTCAGTCTGCAGTTAAAGTTTTTAAACATTTATTAGATTCATAAACTATCCTTGATTTTTACCAAACTTGGACAGTAGCTTCTTACAATCAAAAGATAGTATTAAGTGGAATATTTTTTATTTTATTGATTTACTTCCTCATTTTTGTTGAGCGTGCAATTAACAGAAAAAGTAGGCGAGACACTGGGTTCCGCGGAACCTTTACAAATTTTTTCCCAAAATGTACGGAAGTTTCAATATTAAATTTGTAAAAACTTTTTGATGTTCTGTTATATAAAAATTGTTTGGACTTTATACAGTACTGCGTCAGTCACAGAAGTGTTTCATACCAATGAAAAGGGGGGGGGGTTAGATTTTAAATCCTGCTGAATAGTCTGTTAGGGACTTGTCTATTTTTTCGCCAAGTATAATATTGTATTTTTATTTTTAAAGAAAATTTAATGCTCACTTAATTTCTAATAATCAGAATTAAGTTTGAGAATGACAGAATTAAAATGGTTAAACTTCTGGATTGTTGATCATCTTTATTGTACTACATTCTGCATATATCCATAATTAGGTGCCATTTACTTGAAAAATGTGTTGACCCAGTCCTGGCAAGAAAAGGAAGTAGAGAACCCAGGAGATCCTGTGCCATTTAGTGTCCATGAACAAGACCGTCAGCAGATCAGAGATAACGTCATAGAGGCCATCATACATGCTGCTGGGCCAATCAGGTAAAAATTATTTAGAGAGAAAATATAACATAAAAAAAACACTGAGGCATTGGTCTGTACACATCAGTCAAAATCGATTTTGCCTTAGGGAGTCAATCTTTAGATAAAAATTGCCTTAGAAACTCAATTAATGAAGAAAAAACTTAGTTATATGTTCAAAGTTGTTATTCCATGAATGATTCAATCAATAAATAAAAACAAATTCAAAATAATCAAACAACTGCCATATATACAGCGCTCACACTACTCCAGAATCATAAGGAGCAGTTGTCAACGAATATTTGTTCCGCCTAACAGAAGTTCCACTGGAAACTTTGTAATAAACAATGTCATAATATCTATTCCTGTTGGAACAAATATTCTATACCATTTATTCTGTTAGGAACATATACTGTAATATTTATTCCTGTGGAAATAGTATTCCAGAATATTTTTTCCTTTTGGAACTTATATTATGAAGGAAATTCTATTCCGTGACAAAGTGACTTCTCTTTTTGAAACTCATAGGGAGAAGTGAGATTTGAAAAAAGAAGTGCTTGTTCGCTCGCGTCACTACAATGTTTGGTTGTTAATATAATATAAAGGGCCATATGTATCCTTTTTATTTAATTTTTATACTGTTGAATTCAAATCTTGAGTATACAATTAAAGTAACAGTTGTTTCAGTTTATGTCTGCAATAAATGATTTATAGTTTATATTTATCATTTATAGTTCCACAATTATATTAGTCCTCTTGTCAGAAACTACAAACTAAATGTCTAGCACTAAAAAGAACTTTTGCTATATCAAAAAGGAAAAGAAAGTATCATATATCAATGAAAATTCAATTAAAAACTATTCTGTTTATCATGTTTATGAAACTCATTGTTTCTCATTAAAAAGATATTTAAATTCAACAAAGTTATGTAACTTTAATCAATAAATTGAAACAATGCATATATACATGGAAATATATACATTCAGCAGTGAGATCTAACCCAAAGTCTGTTAATGTGTAATTTTCCCTTTTGGGATCATTATTCCTCAGTCAGCTGTGCCATTTGTGTGTCCGTAGTTATTCCGGATTTTGGTCATAGCTGGTCAGTTTCCGATGAATCCCGCCTCCGATCCGTAGTTCGCATAAATATTTTAATGGCGGTTGAGGAAAATTTACTAAAATAAACGATGTTTGACAAGCGATTTGGAAAGGAATATGACGCTTTTAATGCAATAAATGGATTAAACATTAACTAAAGGCAATTTTCATCACGTTCTAACGAAGAAACAAACTTAGTTTGCCGAAAATCAGAATGTTTTGATATATGCTCTCGAGTAACAAGCACCGAAATTGATATAAAGTTGTTTCTATGAAATAACATACAACCAAGTCCATGCTTTCACCTTTTTTCTAAAGAAATAAATTGTTTATGTCTTTGAATTTCTATTCTTAAAAATGAAAAATTGCTGTTTTGTCAATTTGGTAAAAATTGAAAGTTGCCGATGACAAAAGGGACTGAAATCGACTATGGTGAACACTAGGGCGACTAGATATCGCTTTTGACAGTCGGGCAAAGCGAAGTGACGGGCGGGAAAGCAACTTCTTCGACCCTGTCTCCTGCTGGTGTGAGCCCTGATATAGTAAAGATTGCACATCTAAACATGAGTGTTTTCACTTGCTTTGTTTATAATATTATACTATAAACTTGTATTTTTAGGTCACAGTTATGTGTTATTGTTAGTCACATCATAAAGTGTGATTATCCAGGAAGATGGGCTGTTTTACCAGAGAAGATTGCCACTTTTATCCAGTCAGAAAATCCCATGCAATGGATGGGAGCTTTGATGACTTTATATCAAATGGTTAAAGTTTATGAGTAAGTTAGATGCAGTGTTGTAGGATATTAAAGGTTTTATATGTATCAAATAGCAATATTCCACTATATAACACATGCATATGGTAAGGCCAAATAAAAATATATGTGTGGTTCCAGTTTCCCCGAATGACCCTAGTTTAAAGCTCTAAATACTCAAGCATTTGTAATTAAGATTGACATCTGCAATCAATAGATTATGGGGGGGGGGGGGGCTTCATCTTGTATACATTATACTCTGCATTATACTTAACATCCATTGAAATTGCAGATGTCAATCATAATTACAAATCTTGAGCAAACATTTATATAAACAAAGCAAGCAAGCCAACCAAACCTCTACAAGCATTAGGAAAAGAACTCTAATAATTGAATTTTGGGAAACTGTCAAATGTCACACACCATAAAAGCCCAAAAGACATCAAAGCAGTATATTTTTATACCCCACACAACAAAGTGTTTTTTACCTTCAGGTCCATGTGTGGGTCTCAGTCATCACTTGGCACCTTCATCGTTTATCAGATCCTCCTCAAATTTGGATGGAGGCGTCAACTCATTAAAAGCTCAGATGAGTTCAATAATTCAATCTGAAATGTGGGACATTTTTTCTGGAAGGACAAAAGTAAATATATGCCTCGCATCAATTTTTGATGATGGGATAGCACCTTCATTTTTCATCCTATCCTCTTCAAAAAAAGTATGATGGTTTTCACTCAGAAAAACCTGAAATGGGGAACTATTGTTATGGGAGGGGACTTGTAACAATACACCATATTAATTTCTGATGGACATCTCTTAATTCTTCATCAGATCCTCATCAACTTTGAATGAAGGTAAATTCCTGATAGAAATTCTAACGACTGTTCCAGAAAATACTATGTTTTTTATCCCCATCACTCACAGAAATTAAAATAAATTAGAACCCTCACCTATTATCTTATTACACTTTGCATATATCAATAGACTTGTGAACCCACCACCTACATATTACACTTTTTTTTCAACATACTGACGCCCAAAATATTTCATTTCCTTCTCTGGGGCACCACTTTCATCAATTATTAACTTTCAAACACCACCACCCATATGATAAAAAATAGAATTGCCTTCCTGAGAGGGATAAGTATTTTCTGGAACAAAATATTAGAATACAGGTTTGATTGCCTGGTTCAGTATTGTTCAGATTTCCTTGTAGTCAACATCTTTTTTTCCCTGGTGGTCCTTGAAGAAAATCTGCTGGTCCTCACTATTATTTCTATTGCAAAATACCCAAGTTGTGTCTGTCCTTTGGTGGTTAGGACCTTCAGACCACCACTTTTTAGATCTCTGTTTCTAATTATCATTTTGAAAACCTGGATCATGGAATGAAAAACAAAATTGAATGTTTTAGATACAAAAGACCTGATGAAAGAAAGATACTCGATGATGCCATGGCAGTGATGTTACCATTAATATACCAGAGGATTTCATTCATGATGCAGGACCAATCAGAAGCCTCAGTCCTACTACAGAAACAGATACTGAAAATTTATTATGCCTTTATTCAGGTAAAAAAGATCAGAATTTGTATTCCTGAGTAGATCTATGTTGTATAGGCTTGATAGTGTCAAGCTGTCGCAAGCAACATATAGGGATCACTTGTGTTGTTATCATCCACTTCACACTTTGTTAATCTAAACTCCTGAAGAAACAGCCTGACAGAATTATTCAAAACTTGCACAGATTCTTTTACAAGACATGAAGTTGTGCACCTGCTGTTTTAATTATTGAATAGTGAATTTTGGGGTTTCCATAACGAGACATTGACTAATTATATTCTTTGGCAAATTTAAAAAACAAACATGTTACAAGTTCTGTTTTGATCAATTTAGGTATAAATTTGCATATTAATTTACTATAAGTAAAGTATTTTGATTTTATTAAATGCCATACAGAGATCTGTGTTTTTTTTCTCGCCTGCGACAAAAGAACGCGAGATCATAACCATTGTTGAAGCCGTTGTCGCTGGAAAAGTAATCCTGCTTTTCAGGTGACAACAGCATCAACAATTAAGTTTTCTGCTTAAGTTAGTTTGATAGGAAACACTTGTTATTGATATTTGATATAAAGTTGCATTACTGTCAGTACATATCAGTTTGGTGACTATTTCAATGCCCTGCCCCCTAGTTCATGGTCCAGTGACTTTCAATTAATTACCAATTTTCAATTTTAAGTTATCTGCTTTTGTTAGTTTGATAGGAACTTTTTTGAATCTTTGACCACATTTATTTGTTATGCCAAATCTGACCGTGTATTTAGATTTTTAATTTTGGGTCCAGTTTTCAAATTGGTCTACATTAAGGTCCAAAGGGTCCAAAATTAAACTTTGATTTTTTCAAAAAAGTTTGATTTTAACAAAATTTGAATATATGGGGTTCTTTGATATGCTGAATCTAAACATGTATTTAGATTTTTGATTTCGGGCTCAGTTTTCAAGTTGGTCCAAATTGGGGTCCAAAATTAAACTTTGTTTGATTTCAACAAAAATTGAATATATGGGGTTCTTTGATGTGCTAAATCTAACCATTTATTTAGATTTTTTATTTGTGGGCCCCGCTATCAAATTGGTTCATATTGAGGTCAAAAGGGTCCAAAATTAAACTTTGTTTTATTTCATCAAAAATTGAATTATTAGGGTTCTTTGATATGCCAAATCTAACCGTGTATTTAGATTTTTAATTTTGGTTCCAGTTTTCAAATTGGTCTACATTAGGGTCCAAAATAAAACTTAGTTTGATTTTAACAAAAATTGAATATATATGCTGAATCTAAACATGTATTTAGATTTTTGATTTTGGGCCCAGTTTTCAAGTTGGTCCAAATTGGGGTCCAAAATTAAACTTTGTTTGATTTCAACAAAAATTGAATATATGGGTTTTTTTGATATGCTGAATCTAACCATGTATTTAGATTTTTTATTTGTGGGCCCCGCTATCAAATTGGTTCATATTGAGGTCAAAAGGGTCCAAAATTAAACTATGTTTTATTTCATCAAAAATTGAATTATTGGGATTTGGAATTGATATGCCAAATCTAATTGTGTATTTAGATTTTTAATTTTGGGTCCCGTTTTTATACAACCGCAAAAAAATTTAGCGGTCGTATATTGGTATGACGTTTGCGTCGTCGTCATCATCGTTCGAAGACACATTGGTTTTCGCACTCTAACCTTAGTTTAAGTGAATGGATCTCTTTGAAATTTTACCATAAGCTTCAATACCACAAAAGGAAGGTGGGGATTGATTTTGGGGGTTATGGTTCCAACAGTTAAGGAATTAGGGGCCACAAAGGGGCCAAAAATAAGCATTTTCTAGTTTCCAGACAATAACTGTGGAACAGTGTATGGATCTCTCTGAAATTATGCTACAAGTTTCCATACCACAAAGGGATGGTTAGGATTTGTTTTGGGGGGTTATGACTCAAACCGTTTAGGAATTAGGGGCAAAAAAGGGGGAAAAACAAGGTTGTCCTGGTTAATGGACAAATACATTAGTACAAAACATAATTTAAAGCAGTGTAAGGGAGATAAATCAAATACATCATTGAAATTATCTCCCTTACACTGCTTTTAAATTATGAATAAAGTAATGGTTAATGAACAATTAAGATAATTTAAAACAGTGTAAGGGAGGTAATCCAAATTTTAAATTGGTCTACATGAAGGTCCAAAGGGTCCAAAATTAAACTTAGTTTGATTTTAACAAAAAATGAATATATGGGGTTCTTTGATATGCTGAATCTAAACATGTGTTTAGATTTTTATACGACCGCAAAAAAATTTTTGTGGTCGTTTTTTGGTATGACGTTGGCGTCGTCGTCGTTGTTGTCCGAGATACACTAGTTTTCGCACTCTAACTTTAGTTTAGGTGAATGGATCTCAATGAAATTTTACCATAAGGTTCAATACCACAAAAGAAAGGTGGGATGGTTTTGGGGGTTATGGTACCAACAGTTAAGGAATTAGGGGCCAAAAATAAGCATTTTTGTAACTTCCAGACACAACTTGTGTGTAAGTGTATGGATCTCTCTGACATTGTACCACAAGGTTCCATATCTCAAAGGGAATGCTGGGATTGATTTTGGGGGTAATTGCCTCCAAATTTTAGGAATAAGGGGCCAAAAAGGGGCAAAAACCAAGCATTTTTCTAGTTTCATGACAATAACTTGTGTGTTGTGTATGGATCTCTCTGACATTGTATCACAAGGTTCCATATCACAAAGGGAATGCTGGGATTGATTTTGGGGGTAATTGCCTCCAAATTTTAGGAATTAGGGGCCAAAAAGGGGCAAAAAACAAGCATTTTTCTAGTTTAATGACAATCACTTGTGTGTAAGTGTATGGATCTTTATGAAATTGTACTACAAGGTTCCATATCACAAAGGGAAAGCTGGAATTGAGTTTGGGGGTAATTGACCAAAAAGCTTAGGAAGAAGGCCAAAAATAAGCATTTTTCTAGTTTCCAGACAATAACTTGTGTTCAAGTGTATGGATCTTTATGAAATTGTACTGCAAGGTACCATACCACAAAGGGAAGGCTGGGATTGATTTTGGGGGTAATTGCCCTAAACGTTTAGGAATTTGGGGCCAAAAAATAAGCATTTTTCTAGTTTCCAGACAATAACTTGTGTTCAAGTGTATGGATCTCTCTGAAATTGTACTGCAAGGTACCATACCACAAAGGGAAGGCTGGGATAGAGTTTGTGGGTGATGAATCATAAGGGGGTTCAAAAAATTTGGGGGGGGGGATTTTTTTTTCTTTAAAATTTTCCATTTTAAATTGGTTATTTCTGATTTATATTTAAAAGCAAATAATAATGATATGGTTTGAATAGGTAAATTAAAAATTTTTAAGTTCTTAGACCACATTCATTCTGTGTCAGAAACCGATGCTGTGTCAAATATTTAATCACAATCCAAATTCAGTGCTGTATCAAGCTTGAATGTTGTGTCCATACTTGCCCTAACTGTTCAGGGTTCGACCTCTCCCGTCGTATCAAGCTGCGCCCAGCGGATCATTTTATTTCAATGGCATACATACCTCATCTCCTTATTTTTATTTTGGGATGTGTCAATGAGACAACAAATAATGATACCAAAAAAAAGGATAAATTGAATTGTTTGAATTTTTTATCAATTTTTTAAGAAGTTTGCATAGCATCAAATGATGATAAACAGATTTATCATGAAGACAGTGCTACATTAATGTCGTTCTGACAGTAGCATAACTGTCTGAAGTGACGAGATTTGTCGTAGTGCTGATGATGTACTATGTTGTTTTGACAGTAGCTTAACTGTCTGAAGTGACGAGATTTGTCGTAGTGCTGATGATGTACTATGTTGTTTTGACAGTGGCTTAACTGTCTGAAGTGACGAGATTTGTCGTAGTGCTGATGATGTACTATGTTGTTTTGACAGTGGCTTAACTGTCTGAAGTGACGAGATTTGTCGTAGTGCTGATGATGTACTATGTTGTTTTGACAGTGGCTTAACTGTCTGAAGTGACGAGATTTGTCGTAGTGCTGATGATGTACTATGTTGTTTTGACAGTAGCTTAACTGTCTGAAGTGACGAGATTTGTCGTAGTGCTGATGATGTACTATGTTGTTTTGACAGTAGCTTAACTGTCTGAAGTGACGAGATTTGTCGTAGTGCTGATGATGTACTATGTTGTTTTGACAGTAGCTTAACTGTCTGAAGTGACGAGATTTGTCGTAGTGCTGATGATGTACTATGTTGTTTTGACAGTGGCTTAACTGTCTGAAGTGACGAGATTTGTCGTAGTGCTGATGATGTATTTAAAACAAATCATTTAATAGTTGGAAGCAATTCTATTATGATATTGATTGTTGTTCTTTATTTGAGGACTTGTGTTAATCTCTTATGTTGTCTTTATATATGGTTTAGTCTGTGATATTGAATTTAGATTCATTGTAGTTCATCCTATACCTCATCTTTTTTTATCTTATTTATGTTAAATTAATTTGCAGAATTTTTTGCCTCAAGATGTTTTAACAAAAGAAGTGTTCACTCAGTGGATGGAAGTTATCAGACAGATTGTAGACAGACCTGTTCCTGAGGTACCTAACTTAAAAATAGTACTGCTTATTTGAAGGCTATTCGAGAAATATGATCCATGCAAAATAATGAAATAAACATGATTAATCAGACATTGGGTAGTCTGAAACATAACTTCTGAAGATGATAGTGAACATCAAATGATGAAAACACATTTTTCTTTGAAGGCAGTGCTACATTAATGTCGTTCTGACAGTAGCTTAACTGTCTGTACTGAAGAGATTTGTCGTAGTGCTGATGGTGTTTACATATAATAAAAAAAAATCAGAAGATGTGGTATGATTGCCAATGAGACAACTCTCCACCAGAGACCAAATGACATTAAAGTTGAACAACTATAGGTCATTGACAGCCTTCAACAATGAGCAAAACCCACACTGCATTGTCAGATATTAAAGGCTCCAAAATGTCAAATGTAAAACAACTTAAACGAGAAAACTAACGGCCTGATTTATGTACAAAACTCTATATAAAAAACAACAAACGACAACCCTGATAGACATGGACAGTATTGAAAGGAGTAGGTCCGGTAAGGGCCGATTTTGGCCTCAAAATTCAGGTTCATCTGACGAAAGATTTTGGACACTTTTTAAACACTTAAGTGTCTACTTCAGTCAATTCAATTAGTTTATGTGAAAGATTTGAACTGATTTAGTCATTAAAGACGCTCAAATTCAAGCTTAATTATGAAAAATCTATCAAATATGCCATAATATGTCACTTTTCAGATGGTTTTTGTCAAAAATGAAAGTGGCCACATCCGTGTTCATTCTCAACCTTTATATATGTTATGTATTATCATCAGATACAACTAACATTTAAATATTAAGAATGAACACAAATGCGGCCACTTCCATTTCAGACGGAAACCGTCTAAAAATTAACCAAAATGCTAAAATTTGGAAGATTTCAGTAATTTAGCATGCATTAATGATGCTAATACCCGATACATGTACATTGTATTGTCAAAAACAGCCCATATTTATGTAACAGAAGTTTTCTTCTTTCCAATAAATAGCTAAAAATTTACATTTTAACAATTTTGTAAAACTGCTATATTTTGGGGCCAAAAAGGGGTCTTACCGGGCCTACTCCTTTGATTGAGCACCTCAAAAGTCAAATACCCTCAAAATCCATACAAATGTAAAAGTGCTATAAATTTTTCTGGTGAAACTTCGATGAATGTTATAGAGAAAATTGTACCTTGGCTTCCTTTTCACAAAATAAACTTAATAAAATACTTGCCTATTACCGTGAAGGGGTCTTTTGTTGTTATTTGTTATTCTGATGTAATCATTTTCATTTCGGAATTCACATAAAACAAGTATGCAGTAATTCTACAGACATATATACATTTGCAGTTTGAATGAAAATAGCTTTCAAATCACAACCCTTTCTACCCCACTGCATAAAACCACTTTTTTGACAGTCCTTAGATTAGGTTTTGATAGCTGATTTTAAAAGCTTGATAAGAGATATTGAGTGAAAATCCCACAACCTTCATCCCTTGAATATAATTAAATTCTACTTTCCATAATGATACATTACAGGAAACCAGTCAGATAGACGAAGATGAACGACCTGAGTTAGCATGGTGGAAGGTAAAGAAATGGGCAACACATATACTGGCTAGAGTTTTTGAAAGGTTTGTAAAGATATGCATTAGTGTATTACTTTGATGATAAATTTATAGCGTCAGGTCCAATATTGCTGTTATTTCGCACCTGATCCTGGTTAAATTGGGTGTTATTAAAAAAATTTCACTGCAATCAATCATTAATAATAGTATGAGATGTTGTGTTATTGTTTATGAGACAGCAACTCATCAACGCTCATCAAAGTTCACCAAAAACAACATAAAGATAGTAGTAAATGCATTTATTGAACCTATTGGTCCATGGAATAATTTTCATTAGGTTCTTTCACTTGAACCAATTGGTTTGCTGAATAATATGTATATGGGAGGGATTTGTAATGCAGAAGGAACATTTATTTTATCCCACTATGCATGGAAAAAAATCCATGAATGAAATTTCAGTATCATTCATAAGCAGTATCATTCATAATGCCTTATGTAACCTAAACTTTGGAATTGTTATCATTTGTTAAATGTTGATTACTGTGAGCATCTTGTTTGACAATTAGAGACCAGTTAATTTTAGTGATTATATTTCAAATATCTCCAGTACAACTAGTCTCTTATTTTAAAGGTAAAAGATCTTTCAGATATTCAAACACTTATACATATTAAAGGTTACTCCTTGTAGATATGGAAGTCCTGGTAATGTTACAAAAGAATACAATGCATTTGCTGAATGGTATCTGAAAGCCTTTTCAGGTAAGCTGCTTTGTAAAAAAAAAATTCTTCAAATTTTTGCTTACCCAAATTAATATACAAAAGGCTTTATGTAAAGCCAGACTTGCTTAAAACTGACAACTCAAGCTCTACTGACCTATAACTGAATAATTTTACACACCATGATATTAGAAAAAAAGATAATCTGACAAGCGGACGTCTATGCACAGATCAGTTGTCATAGATGTGGGTATATTGTCAGAAACATTAAATTCCAATGTCTTCTGTCCATTGTTTAACAATACAGTGGAAATAGAAGTATATTGGTGACAAACACAACAGATCACATGTTCATTGAATTTTTTACACCAACTGAGAATGGTATTTTAATGTCTGATGACGAGTGGGGTGTACATTGCAACTCTTTTTGTGATACAATGAAAGTGCATGCTAATCCGCGAAATACACATTTCTACAAAAAGTACATGGATGCCAAAAATTGATTGGAAAAAGATAGCTTTGCTGTCTTTCTTTTAAAAGCCCCTTTTCTGAATTTAGTTTTATTAAATAGTTCTTTGTAGCTTCCATTGAGCAAAATAATGGGGGAAGTGTGAATACTTACAAGACAAATTTAACAAAGTCAGTTACTTTCATCAGAGATTATGTTTCTAAATGTTTTGTTTTTTTTTGTCATTTTAAGGAATCCGGTTAAATTCATAATTTGTTGCATGTTTTGTGTCATTAAATAGTTGACAAGTGTTAAACCCAATGATTTGATCTGTTATGTTGACAGAAACAAAATTAGAATTTCTATATCATTACGAATGCAAGAGTTGGAAATCAATGGATTATAGAGATAAAAATACAATGCTGATTCTGACTGGACAGATTTCTAATGTACATAAGCATGAAACATCATTCAAAGTTTATATTGTTTTTATTGATTAAGAGAAAAATAAGTGTACTGCCATATTGAAAAGCTATATGTTATTCCTTTTGCTTTCTGGAATGGAAGATGTGGTAGAAGTTTTATATAAAAAAAATTGGTAGTAAGAAAATTAAAGGAAGTCCTCTTTTCCACACAGTGTAAATAAAATTACCTAAATTATTGATATTCAAACCAGTAACTCAGTGTTCTCCCCAGGCCCTTAAAGCAACACAGACTCGCTTATCTGTGTGTTATAAAATTATAGGTGAAATTTAAGCAGCACCTTGATAATTACAACAGGTGATTGATTTACTTGATGAGGGTTACCTGTTGCTGATTGGATTTAATCAATCAATTAGCACTTGTAACTTGAATTGTTTGTGTGTTAACTAATATATGGAGATAATTTATGAATTCTAACAACAATTTTATGGCTTCACTCACCACCCAAGCGTAAGACCATCAAAAACAACGTTTTCATAATAAATCCATGAAGAGTTTTTTAGCTATTTTGAAATTCTTAGATTAAAAATATGTTTACTCATAGGAAATAAGTTAACAAATAATTGCTAACTATTAAAATGGAATGTAATTTATTAAAAATTATAATCTGTATACATACAGAAAAAATACATTGTAAATGAGAGGTAATATCTTTAATACTCCCAATGAAATCAAACCATTATTATATAGACATTGTGCCAACCTAACTACCGTAGATACTCTCCTAATAGTCAATCCTACTATAAGTCGGGGTCCCTTTTCAGCTCCAAATTCTAAGGATTTAGTCTTGACCCTCGTATAAGTCGGACAAAATTTGGGCATTTTTTTTTCAGCTGACAGTAACTGAACGCCGGTAAAACCAATGCAAATCCAGGAATAATATTCATTTCTGCATTAATGTTTGTTTGGTTTGAATTTAGTTGATGCTCATCATGATAATTTATATTGCTGTTAATAATAAAGATGTATTCATTTCTCTTGTTTTGTTCACTGTTCAAATGTTAGATTAGCCATGTGTTGTTTACGTAATGCATCAATGATTTTGTAGGGTATGACTAACAACCTATTGTTTGAGAAAAGCGAATATAAACCAATATGAACCTGAAAAATTTAAAGTCAATCAACACTTGATGAAAATATTTTTCACAGCATACATAACTCGGTGTTAAATGAGCATGTACACTTCATAATTCTTATTATATTGTGATGATTAAAGGATTAAAAAAATTAAGTGAAGCTAATCAATATATTAAAATAACTAACTCCAACTCATTAGTGTCATCTGTTTACCTATCACTGATAGTTTTCACACCTTTAGTGAATACAACTCTTTGTCTCTTAATTGGGGTTATCAATGGATTATATTGGCTTGTCAATCAATTTTGTAATTTTTGTTTACCTGAGACACTATAATGAATAATATTTTGATTTTGGGAATGAATCTTAAAATTATTTTTTGATTATTATATGATTTATAAGCATTGAATTGATATCATGATATCACAATAATGACACAATAACTCCGCTGAAAACATCCTTTCACATATTTGGTACATTGTTATCTCCTTTTCATTTTTGGTTCTTGGCTCTTCTTTTGGGTTTATAGGAAAACCATGTGACCATGAAAATCAATACACAAACCGGAAACAGTAGAATTTCAACACGAATTTGCAGAAAATGTTTACCAAAGAACAAATAAAACACAAAGACAGTATTGAAGTCATTTATTTTCAACAAAAACTTTTTATTTATTGATTTATGTAGGTTTGGCAATCAAAAACGTAGTTTTGACCAGGAAATTCACTCCTGACCACTTTTCTCAAGCTTGGATTTTTCCTCTGGTCACTAGATCTCGTCTATTAGTCGGCCTCCCTCTCTGGATTATGAATTTTACTCCCAATTTTCCGACTAATAAGCGAGTAGGAACGGTAGGCATTTTCAGCCAGTCAATGTTGTTAAAAAACAGTAGTAAAGATAAAAAAAAACAAAAAAAAACACCCTATTATCACAAATACATGTAGTAATAACAATTGACAATTCTCTTCATGTCTGTCTGAATGGAGAACATAGTTTCTTTCACTGCATTAAAGTCAACAAAACACAGTACAAAAGAAAAGAAAAACTCAAATGGATAAAAGATAATAAATAAAGAAAGAACCCTATGGGAACTAACCTTAAGGAGGATAGAGGAAAAGAGTTGCTTCACGATGCAAATTATGCTTGATGCATATATCTAATTTGTCGCCTTGATAACCCTGGTGCTATCTAAAAATCCTGGGGGAGAACACTGAGTAACTCCCAAAGTCATATTTGTTGACATCATTTTAATTTACTTTCTGACAAGCGGACATCTTTGTACAGGATAATTGTCAAAGATGTGGGTATATTGTCAGGTACATAAAATAACCTCTGTAGTTCAAGCATTATAAATTATTATAATGTAGAAGTACAGTGGTGACACCCATGTACTTTTCAAACTTTTGTATTCTTAACAGTTAAAAAAAACCAAATTTTTGATAGTATAACGTAATTTACTGTCATTGTAACTGTTTGTTGTCATTGGAAATAAATCTTTTCATCTTTGTATTGAATATATGAATTCAGTGGTTTTAAGAGATAAAAAGATTTAAGATGTCTCATGTGTATTTATATATGTATAAATATATATATGATAACTCTTTTCCGTTCAATATAAAGCAAATACCCTTAACTGCTTACTGGGTTTTCTTCCAAAGATATGATTTATCAAATTTAAGCAGTTGATAAGAATTTATCAGTAATTTATGTTCCTGTAAGCCATTGAATAAAATTTGGTTCAAGTTTTGTGTTGATATCAGAGTTGATTCCCACACTTTTTTGAAATGCTATTATTCCCATTCTTTCATTAGGCAAATAAGATACAATACCATTATGATAGACATTGTCATGATTTTCAAACAATTACACTCAAAAGTGTAAGTATTTTTTGGATTCAACTCCACTCAAATGCAGTCTTAATTGACCACAGTTAATATATCATAACAGTTGATAATCATACTGATATTAAGGTCCAAGAATTTTGTGTATTCAATTTACTACACATCTAACTGAATACACAAAGTCTTGACCTCAAGAGTGTACCTATTATTTATTTTGATTATCTCTATATAAAACCATAGACATAATGTCTTTGATAAAACTATTCTGTTAATTTTGTGTGAAAGCTGACTGATTAATAAGATGTGGGTTTTTTTTCAAAGAAAATCTGTATAAAAAAGCTACAAATTTTATTTCACTGGTAACCAAAGTCATAATCATCTGACATAAGTTAGTAATTAAGGTCTATTTAAGTTACAATTATCAGTGATTTGGTTGAAACAATAAACACAAATGCATAACTCTTACCTGAGCATTTTCTGCAAAAAGTTAATTTGTATATTCCCCATTATACTGCTATTTAACAGTAATTGGAATTATCTCAGCATTAGGTATTTGTACATGTATATATATAATTGAATACAGGAAATGTATTGTTTCCTTAAATGAAAAATGAACACCAATGTAAATAAAAATTAGTAGTTTATTTTTGTTGTTGTTGAGAAAGAGCATTTTTAATGCCTCTTTCTGGAAATTAAGCCAATTATTATTAATGGCATATAAAAAATATGCTACACGTTTGAAGATTTCCCCTAACATTCTTGTCAAAATCATTGAATTTCAAATGTTTCTAAAAAAGATGTAAAAAAATCTGAGTGTCTTCAATTGAAATTTGCATCAATATTGCAAAATTCTCCATCTTTGGGCAATAGAATAGAAATTTTACAGTGAGATTATGGAAATGAAAATAACAAAAGAAATATTGAAAGTATGGTAAAAAGAAATGTCAGACTAGCTACAATGTTGGCTGGATCACAACATCCATGATGCTTTGATTAATAATTTCTGACAAGCGGACATCTTTGTACAGGTTAATTGTCAAAAATGTGGGTATATTGTCAGGTACATAAATAACCTCTGTAGTTCGATCATTATAAATATTATAATGTAGAAGTACAGTGGTGACACCCATATACTTTTCAAACACAGGAATTCATGCCAGTACATTAAAATCCTTCATTTTAGCCAAAAACCCAGATCTTATGCTATATAACATTATTTGTAACTGTTTGGTGTTGTTACAATTAAATATTTTCATCTTTGTATGCAATAAATGAATTCAGTGGTCTAAAGGGATAATTTTAAATGTCATGTGTATTTATATATGTATTGTCGAAATTCGGATATGGTGTACTAATTTTTGCACCTTTTGTTTGCGGTATACCATCTTTTCCGCAAGTTTATTGTTTTCTGTTTGGTATTAAATTAATAGTTAAGATCCATTTTGTTACATCTGGTGATCCGTTTATTTGGCAATCACCAATGGCAGTCGGCAGGGTTTAAGAACGTCCGTTGTTCGACCTGCTAGTCAAATGCGTTTTGTTAAAATATACTTTTTCACTTTTTTGGTCTTTTGGAAAAAGTTGTTTGTGCTGTATTTAGACCCCTCTACCAAGAAATTTGTTTTGCATGCACACGTATAAAAATTGCGATTTTTATCCAACACAATCATAGGTTTGAACGTTATTTTCAATTTAGACTTGTTTATATATGTATAGATATATATAGTATCTCTTTTCCATTCAGTATAAAGCTAACAGACTTAATTGTGAATTACAGTTCATGGGTTTGTAAACATTGTTATTTTGACAACGTCTTGTTGACATTCAAATGAGCAACCTCTTATGTAGCGGCTAAGCATCTTTAAATTTCTGACAAGCGGACATCTTTGTACAGGATAATTGTCAAAGATGTGGGTATATTGTCAGGTACATAAATAACCTCTGTAATTTGACCATTGTAAATTATTATTATGTAGAATTGCAGTGGTGACAGTCATAAACCATTCCAACACAGGAATACATGTCAGCACATAAAACTCCCTCATGTTTAGCCCCTGTAAGCCAGCTGAGCTTTTCTAATCCATAGTTGTCCATCTGTCTGTTGATATAAAAAAGTTACCCTTTTTTGTTTTGCCCAAAAATTAAAGAAGATAGAAAGAAATTCAAAGCAGAAAAAATTATCAGCAATACAACATCAACAAAAAAGATGTTTTTTGTCATGAATTCTATTCCAAGTCCACAATGTAGGAGATTGTCCATTATTGAATATGCACTTAGACATAGGTGAGCGACACATGCTCTTTAGAGCCTCTAGTTGATTGATTATATTATTTTTGTTGACTAATTATGTTTTGATTAATTTCTGACAAGCGGACGTCTTTGTGCAGGATAATTGTCAAAGATGTGGGTATATTGTCAGATACATAAATAACCTCTGTAGTTCAACCATTGTAAATAATTATAATGTAGAAGTACAGTGGTGACAGTTATAGTATCATATAATTGATAAGTTTGGTACATGTTATTTGTCAAGTTTAATTATTTCAATCTCATTTTTATACGACCGCAAAAATTAAAAATTTTTTGGTCGTATATTGGTATGACGTTGGCGTCGTCGTCGTCGTCGTCGTCGTCGTTGTCGTCGGAAGACACATTGGTTTTCGCACTCTAACTTTAGTTTAAGTGAATGGATCTCCATGAAATTTCACCATAAGGTTCAATACCACAAAAGGAAGGTTGGGATTGATTTTGGGGGTTATGGTACCAACAGTTAAGGAATTAGGGGCCAAAAAGGGGCCAAAAATAAGCATTTTTGTAACTTTCAGACAATAACTTGTGTGTAAGTGTATGGATCTCTCTGACATTGTACCACAAGGTTCCATATCACAAAGGGAAGGCTGTAATTGATTTTGGGGGTAATTGCCTTAAAATTTTAGGAATTAGGGGCCAAAAAAGGGGCAAAAAACAAGCATTTTTCTAGTTTCATGATAATAACTTGTGTGTAAGTGTTTGGATATTTCTGAAATTGTACTACAAGGTTCCATATCACAAAAGGAAAGCTGGAATTGAGTTTGGGGGTAATTGCCCGAAACGTTTAGGAATTGGGGGCCAAAAAGGGGCCAAAAATAAGCATTTTTCTAGTTTCCAGACAATAACTTGTGTTCAAGTGTATGGATCTCTCTGAAATTGTACTGCAAGGTACCATACCACAAAGGGAAGGCTGGGATTGAGTTTGGGGGTGATGAATCATAAGGGGGTTCAAAAAATTGGGGGGGGGGGGGGTGTTTTTTTTTCTTTTTTTCCTTTTTTTTTTCTTTTAAAATTTTCCATTTTAAGTTGGTTATTTCTGATTTATATTTAAAAGCAAATAATAATGATATGGTAGGAGATACACACCAAACAGGATGTGTAAATTATTATATAATAAGTATTGTGCAATAGCAAGAAATTTTCAATTGCACAGTATTGCACAATAGCAAGAAATCTTCAATTGCACAGTATTGCGCAATAGCAAGAAATCTTCAATTTAACAGTATTGCGTAATAGCAAGAACTATCCAATAGCACAATATTGCGCAATAGCAAGAAATTGTCAATTGTACAGTATTGCGCAATAGCAAGAAATATTCAATTGCACAGTATTGTGCAAAAGAAGATACTTCGTATAAATTGCTTATTTCTTGATCAATTTCAATGGGGTTTTATTCTTGAATTCTTGGGGTTCTTTAATATGCTGAATCTAACCGTGTATTAAGTTTTTGGATTTTGGGCCCCGTTTTTAAATTGGTCCACATTGAGGTCCAAAGGGTCCAAAATTAAACTTTGTTTGATTTCATCAAAAATTGAATTATTGGGGTTCTTTGATATGCCGAATCTAACCGTGTATTTAGATTTTTAATTTTGGGTCCCGTTTTTTAAATTTGTCTACATTAAGGTCCAAAGGGTCCAAAATTAAACTTAGTTTGATTTTAACAAAAATTGAATTCTTAGGGTTCTTTGATATGCTGAATCTAAACATGTGTTTAGATTTTTGATTATGGGCCCAGTTTTCAAGTTGGTCCAAGTTGGGGTCCAAAATTAAACTTTGTTTGATTTCAACAAAAATTGAATATATGGGGTTCTTTGATATGCTGAATCTAAACATGTATTTAGATTTTAGATTTTTGGCCCAGTTTTCAAGTTGGTCCAAATTGGGGTCCAAAATTAAACTTTGTTTGATTTCAACAAAAATTGAATATATGGGGTTCTTTGATATGCTGAATCTTACCATGTATTTAGATTTTTTATTTGTGGGCCCGCTATCAAATTGGTTCATATTGAGGTCAAAAGGGTCCAAAATTAAACTTTGTTTGATTTCATCAAAAATTGAATTATTGGGGTTCTTTGATATGCCAAATCTAACCGTGTATTTAGATTTTTAATTTTGGGTCCTGTTTTTTAAATTGGTCTACATTAAGGTCCAAAGGGTCCAAAATTAAACTTAGTTTGATTTTAACAAAAATTGAATTTTTGGGGTTCTTTGATATGCTGAATCTAAACATGTGTTTAGATTTTTGATTATGGGACCAGTTTTCAAGTTGGTCCAAGTTGGGGTCCAAAATTAAACTTTGTTTGATTTCAACAAAAATTGAATATATGGGGTTCTTTGATATGCTGAATCTAAACATGTATTTAGATTTTAGATTTTTGGCCCAGTTTTCAAGATGGTCCAAATTGGGGTCCAAAATTAAACTTTGTTTGATTTCAACAAAAATTGAATATATGGGGTTCTTTGATATGCTGAATCTTACCATGTATTTAGATTTTTTATTTGTGGGCCCGCTATCAAATTGGTTCATATTGAGGTCAAAAGGGTCCAAAATTAAACTTTGTTTGATTTCATCAAAAATTGAATTATTGGGGTTCTTTGATATGCCAAATCTAACTGTGTTTTTAGATTTTTAATTTAGGGTCCCGTTTTTTAAATTTGTCTACATTAAGGTCCAAAGGGTCCAAAATTAAACTTAGTTTGATTTTAACAAAAATTGAATTCTTCGGGTACTTTGATATGCTGAATCTAAACATGTGTTTAGATTTTTGATTATGGGACCAGTTTTCAAGTTTGTCCAAGTTGGGGTCCAAAATTAAACTTTGTTTGATTTCAACAAAAATTGAATATATGGGGTTCTTTGATATGCTGAATCTAACCATGTATTTTGATTTTGGACATTGGACCATAATAGGTAAATTAAAAAAATTTAAGTTCTTAGACCACATTCTTTCTGTGTCAGAAACCTATGCTGTGTCAAATATTTAATCACAATCCAAATTCAGAGCTGTATCAAGCTTGAATGTTGTGTCCATACTTGCCCCAACTGTTCAGGGTTTCGACCTCTGCGGTCGTATCAAGCTGCGCCCAGCGAAGCATTTTATTGTTTGATTATATTATGATTAATAGTTTAATGACATTTCAAGTGTAGATTTTAATTTATATTTTTTTTTGCAGGTGGCATAATTGCAGTTTTATTCAAAGTTTTGGACCAGTACAGACAAAAAATATATGTAGCACCAAGAGTTATGCAACAAGTTCTCAATTATTTAAACCAAGGGTAAATATAATGTTGAAGTAATATTTGATGAAAAATTATATTGCAAAAGTTATTGTTTTTTTTTTTAAATGTTGAATTCATAAGGGCTATTCCATTAAAATGTATGTGGGAGGGTAGGAAGGTAAGTTTAATTATTGAATGAGGGTCATGGGTCTTTTTTCAGTATGCATCTATTACCATTATGCAAAATTATCTAAAAAATGGTTCTTGGTTGTAGGGATATTTTGAAACTCCCTTCCTACCGGCACACACATTTTAATGGAATTGCTCTAAGTAGGGAGTTGGTTCTGTAGATAAAAATATAGAGAAAGTAAAGAAAGAACCCTTTCAATATTTTGGTTAAAGGTCAAGGTCATATTTCTGACCCTACCACATACATCCATATTTCCCAGTGTCGATCTACAGATATATTGTTTTAAAAAAAAAACGTGAAATTAACATCAATTTATTACAACCTGCAAACACAAGTTACCCACAGATAACAAAGATTTACCAATTGAACATGTACAAGATTCTAATAGCATGGAAATTAATAGTATGAAGAAGAGTAAAACTAAAAAAAAATTATAGATGTCTATAATTTCTTTTACATAATTTGGTATTCTAACATAGATAGCAGTTGTTTTTATACGACCGCAAAAATCTGGCGTCGTCCGAAGACACATTGATTTTCGCACTCTAACTTAAGTTTAAGTGAATAGATCTCCATGAAATTTTACCATAAGGTTCAATACCACGAAAGGAAGGTTGGGATTGATTTTGGGGGTTATGGTACCAACAGTTAAGGAATTAGGGGCCAAAAATAAGCATTTTTGTAACTTCCAGACAATAACTTGTGTGTAAGTGTATGGATCTCTCTGACATTGTACCACAAGGTTCCATATCACAAAGGGAAGGCTGTAATTGATTTTGGGGGTAATTGCCTCAAAATTTTAGGAATTAGGGGCCAAAAAAAGGGGCAAAAACCAAGCATTTTTCTAGTTTCATGACAATAACTTGTGTGTAAGTGTTTGGATATTTCTGAAATTGTACTACAAGGTTCCATATCACAAAGGGAAAGCTGGAATTGAGTTTGGGGGGAATTGGGGGCCAAAAAGGGGCCAAAAATAAGCGTTTTTCTAGTTTCCAGACAATAACTTCTGTTCAAGTGTATGGATCTCTCTGAAATTTTACTGCAAGATACCATACCACAAAGGGAAGGCTGGGATTGAGTTTGGGGGTGATGAATCATAAGGGGGTTCAAAAAATTTGGGGGGGGGGGGGGGATTTTTTTTTTTTCTTTTTTTTTCTTTTTTTCCTTTTTTTTTTCTTTTAAAATTTTCCATTTTAAGTTGGTTATTTCTGATTTATATTTAAAAGCAAATAATAATGATTTGGTAGGAGATACACACCAAACAGGATGTTTAAATTATTATATAATAAGTATTGTGCAATAGGAAGAAATTTTCAATTGCACAGTATTGCACAATAGCAAGAAATCTTCAATTGCACAGTATTGCGCAATAGCAAGAAATCTTCAATTGCACAGTATTGCGCAATAGCAAGAAATATCCAATAGCACAATATTGGGCAATAGCAAGAAATTGTCAATTGTACAGTATTGCGCAATAGCAAGAAATATTCAATTGCACAGTATTGTGCAAAAGAAGATACTTCGTATAAATTGCTTATTTCTTGATCAATTTCAATGGGGTTTTATTCTTGAATTCTTGGGGTTCTTTAATATGCTGAATCTAACTGTGTATTAAGTTTTTGGATTTTGGGCCCCGTTTTTAAATTGGTCCACATTGAGGTCCAAAGGGTCCAAAATTTAACTTTGTTTGATTTCATCAAAAATTGAATTATTGGGGTTCTTTGATATGCCGAATCTAACCGTGTATTTAGATTCTTAATTGTTGGTTCCGTTTTCAAATTGGTCTACATAAAGGTCCAAAGGGTCCAAAATTAAACTTAGTTTGATTTTAACAAAAATTGAATTTTTAGGGTTCTTTGATATGCTGAATCTAAACATGTATTTAGATTTTTGATTATGGGCCCAGTTTTCAAGTTGGTCCAAATCGGGGTCCAAAATTAAACTTTGTTTGATTTCAACAAAAATTGAATATATGGGTTCTTTGATATGCTGAATCTAACCATGTATTTAGATTTTTGATTTTTGGGCCCCGTTATCAACTTTGTCCACATTGAGATCAAAAGGGTCCAAAATTAAACTTTGTTTGATTTCATCAAAAATTGAATTCTTGGGGTTCTTTGATATGCTGAATCTAACCATGTATTTAGATTTTGGATATTGGACCATAATACTGTGAATGTCCAATTTAAAAAATTTTAAGTTCTTAGACCACATTCATTCTGTGTCAGAGACCTATGCTGTGTCAACTATTTAATCACAATCCAAATTCAGAGCTGTATCAAGCTTGAATTTTGTGTCCATACTTGCCCCAACTGTTCAGGGTTCGACCTCTGCGGTCGTATCAAGCTGCGCCCTGCGGAGCATTTTATTAATACCTGACGTTTGAAAAGTTAGTTTGGTTTGAAAAAAAATGTTCTTCTCCTATGTAAATGATACCTGTTTACAAATTAATTTCATAACCTTCATTTTCATATATAATATTTGAAAAAAGATTTAATGATTCTTTCTTATTTCCAGAGTCAGCCATGCATTTTCGTGGAAATACATGAAGCCTCATTTCCAGGTAGGTCTACTGTTATCAATCTGTTCTTTTAGGCAATAACAAATCTCTCAATACTACTTGCCAGGAAAGGGGAATAAGTGGTATGAAATAATGAATTTATTGTCCAGTTTAAGCTTTTGGAAATCACATTCTGAAATGTGCTTCAAATAGAACATTTGATGACGTGCAATTATGAACCCTTGAATTGAAATTGTAAAGCACTGGAACCAAGAAAAAAATAAATGGTTTATGGTGTTCTCTATAATTCAGGTAGTTTTAAATATACACTTGGAAATTGTTTAATAATAATTTTCACTAATTGGATTAAACCCCAAAAATCAATCAAAGTCTCATATATAATATTCTTTTATAATAAGCAATGAGTAATAAACATATGTTTGTGCAATTATACATTTTTTTAAGAAGGTTTTTGTGTATTGCTGCATTGACATTGTGAAATTGTATATTTTCAGACTTTAATACAAGAAGTTTTATTTCCTTTGATGTGTCACAGTGATGAAGATGATGAATTATGGAATACCGATCCTCAGGAATATATCCGAGTTAAATATGGTAGGGTAATCGTAGCTTGAACTGATTTGCTTCAGACCAAAGTAATTCATGTTTGACAGTTTGTTTTGTCCAAAGTTCATTACATTGTAAAACGAGGGGGCTTGGGGGATGGAAGGGGTGTCGTCCCATATACCTGGAAAAATGCTGATTCCCAAAAAAATGCGGCATTCTTTCCAGGGTCCTGAAAATTAATCATTAATTCCCTAGTCCCAACAAGTGTAAATCTTGAATTCATGCAAATATAAAGGCCCAATCCTGACTTCCCAAAAAGGTCCAAAAAAGGTCCTACTCCTCTTAAACATGTAAAATAATGTAACTGTCTACAAGTGAAAGTTTTGTTCTTTGTGGATTGCTGTTGTCTATTAAAATTTGAAATAATCAAGCATCAATTAATTTGTTTTTTGGAAAAAAAGGAATATTTCCATAAAGAGAAATCTTACTTGAACAAAATCTGTAGTTTCATCAACGTAGTGTATTTAGAATATATTTGTCCTCACCAAATAAATTTTTCCTCCAGTACAGTGTTTTATTTATTTCCAGACGTGTTTGAAGATTTTCTGTCGCCAGTGATAGCTGCACAAACATTATTTTATTCAGCGGCATCGAAACGAAAAGAGGTCTTGCAAAAAGCCATGGGATTTTCTATGCAAGTTATAAACCAACCAAATGTCAACCCTAGGCAAAAAGATGGGGCATTGCACATGATTGGAGCAGTAGCTGAAGTTTTATTGAAGGTTTGTTATATAATCAATGCAAACAAACAATTTATTTTCTGAATAGCACTTTTCAAATTTGTAAATGAAGCTTCATCTGGAATAATTATAAGGAAAGGGTAAACATCACAACATGTGGTGCCAATAAGACAACTCTCCAGCAGAGACCAAATGACGTAGAAGGTTAGCAAGAGGTCACCGTACAACCTTCAAATCTATATTGAAATAACAATATATACAATTAGTTTGTGTAAAACCATAAAACTTTATGGTTTGGTTTTTTATTACGGAGTGTAACTTAAGTTAGAATGTAATGGCTTGTGTCAGAACTATTATGGCTTCGCCTGAATTTTAATTTTTGTAGTGATTCTTGAATGTGTTTTCAAAATTTGAAATTTGAAATTCTCTATTAATATCTGTGTTGTATGAAATGAAAGAAACATAAATTGGTGTATTAACAAATATTGGTTTGCATTGTGAAAATTTTGCTTAGTCATGTGACTTCAGTAAAAAATCAACAATGCTAAATAAACTTTTGGGAATCCAAGGTGTCCGTCACTGATGTCCAGTGGATGCCATTTTGGCCCAAATACAGTATTCTTCAACATAATTATTTAGCTTTTGAAACTGGTTAGTGGGTTCATTTTTGACATGTTTCTTATGTCATTACAGAGAAAGATTTACAAAGATCAAGCAGAAATGATGTTGGTAAATCATGTCTACCCAGAATTCACTAATGAAAGTGGATTTTTACGAGCCAGGGTAAGTAATGGGCAAAATATATGTGTTTCAAATTTGATTTCAGCTTCTAAGCCTGTCAAAGACATTTTAAGGTATATGCTTCTAAGCCTGTCAAAGACTGACATTTAAGGTATATGGTTGTTAATTTGTCAGTCCAAGCATGACTTGCAATTTCTCAAGTTTACTTCCAACTGATCTTTGTCAAACAAAATTTTCTCTATTATTATTTTTATTCAGATTTGAATCTGTATTGTTTATAATGAAGGCAACATAAATTAGTGTAATGGAAAATATTGGTTTGCATTGTGAAAATTTTGCTTAGTCATGTGACTTCAGTAAAAAATCAACAATGCTAAATAAACTTTTGGGAATCCAAGGTGTCCGTCGCTAATGTCCAGTGGATGCCATTTTGGCCCAAATACAGTATACCTTAGTATTAAAGACAATCTACCTTTTGTTGATGAAAATTTGGGTGATATGAGTTGTTGCTCAATAGTTAATGGCACTTGATTTGTCAAAATAAAGAAAACTAATCTAGTCTTCTTAGGGCAATTTTAACATAATTCAAGAAACACTGTTAATCACATATATTTTATATTTTCGTTTCCATGTTATATAAATGAATGTATATTTTATTTGCAGGCTTGTTGGGTTTTGAAACATTTTTGTGAGTTGAAATTTAAAAATGAGAACAATTTAAGACAAGCATTAGAATTGACAAGGAATGCTTTATGTAGTGATAAAGATTTACCTGTACGAGTAGAAGCAGCTATAGCTTTACAGATGTTAATTACAGAACAAGAAAAAGGTATGTGTACTTTGTGTAAAGGAATGAGAGAGTTGGGTGATAAGGGCTATTCCATTAAAATGTATGTGGTAGGGTAGGAAGGTAAGTTTAATTATTGAATGTGGGTCATGGGTCTTTTTTCAGTATGCATCTATTACCATTATGCAAAATTATCTAAAAAATGGTTCTTGGTTGTAGGGATATTTTGAAAGTCCCTTCCTACCCTCCCACATACATTTTAATGGAATAGCCCTAAGAGTTACTCCAAATGTTTGGCATTTTGGCAATGTCAGAAATTTCTTGCAAAATCCATCATGTTGACCAAGGGCTGTTCTGTAAAAACATGGGAACATCAAAAGTTGTCTTCTGAGACTGGTGGTTTATCAAAACATTCTTATTTCATATAAATTATGAAGAGTATTCATTGAAAGATAAATGGTTCTCAATAGAGGGGTGTCCCTAGACAGGTTCCAGTGAAGTACTAAATAATCATGCTAATAATCTATTTTTATTCACTTTTAACTCTGAAAAGATGCTAAAAGAATGATAAATGAAAGTCAGAGTTCTCGAAAAGTGGTGGTCTGGAGGTTTTGTCCACAAAAAATTTCAAGGGACTGACACAATTTTTATACGACCGCAAAAAAATTTTGTGGTCGTATATTGGTATGACGTTGGCGTCGTCGTCGTCCGGCGTCGTCGTCCGAATACACATTGGTTTTCGCACTCTAACTTTAGTTTAAGTGAATGGATCTCTATGAAATTTTACCATAAGGTTCAATACCACAAAAGGAAGGTGGGGATTGATTTTGGGGGTTATGGTACCAACAGTTAAGGAATTATGGGCCAAAAAGGGGCCAAAAATAAGCATTTTTGTAACTTCCAGACATAACTTGTGTGTTAGTGTATGGATCTCTCTGACATTGTACCACAAGGTTCCATATCACAAAGGGAATGCTGGGATTGATTTTTGGGGTAATTGCCTCCAAATTTTAGGAATTAGGGGCCAAAAAGGGGAAAAAAACAAGCATTTTTCTAGTTTCATGACAATAACTTGTGTGTAAGTGTATGGATCTGTCTGACATTGTACCATAAGGTTCCATATCACAAAGGGAATGCTGGGATTGCTTTTGGGGGTAATTGCCTCCAAATTTTAGGAATTAGGGGCCAAAAAGGGGGAAAAAACAAGCATTTTTCTAGTTTCATGACAATAACTTGTGTGTAAGTGTATGGATCTTTATGAAATTGTACTACAAGGTTCCATATCACAAAGGGAAAGCTGGAATTGATTTTGGGGGTAATTGCCCACAACGTTTAGGAATAAGAGGCCAAAAAGGGGCCAAAAATAAGCATTTTTCTAGTTTCCAGACAATAACTTGTGTTCAAGTGTATGGATCTCTCTGAAATTGTACTGCAAGGTACCAAACCACAAAGGGAAGGCTGGGATTGATTTTGGGGATAATTCCCTAGAAATTTGAGGAATTAGGGGCCATAAAGGGGCAAAAAAACAAGCATTTTTCTAGTTTCAGGACAATAACTTGTGTGTAAGTGTATGGATCTTTCTGAAATTGTACTGCAAGGTTCCATATCACAAAGGGAATGCTGGGTTTGAGTTTGGGGGTAATTGCCCTAAATGTTTAGGAATTTGGGGCCAAAAAACAAGCATTTCCAGACAATAACTTGTGTTCAAGTGTATGGATCTCTCTGAAATTGTACAGTTCATACATGTGAACCTCCCGACGGGAGTACAATAATCCCGTTTTCAGGGGTCTCCTCCCGACCTCCAGTTGAAGACAAAAAAATCCCGTGTATGAAATATTTCATGAATGAAAAATTTCAGCCAAACATATCTGGTGTAACTGACATTACTGAAGTTATATTTTACCTGTAAATCAATTAAAATGCATAATTATATGGCCTCACTTGTCACCTTGGGTGTCAAACATACTGGTAATAAACGATTTTTACCTCAGGCTAACTGCCGTTGTGTAATAAAACTTTGTTTATTTAAAATGAATGTTGGGTTACTTCCCTTGATTTATCCTGTTTTAAGTTACTTCTTTAAATAATGTAAATTTTTAAAAGAATATAAATAAAATATAAATTGAACAAATAATCATAAAAGGGTGGTAATTAAATGATTTTAAATGTTTTAGGACAAATAAAAAAATAATAATTTGAAAATTATTTGAGGGTTCTATACTTCCTTTCAAGGCTTAAATTGAAATTTATATAATAACTATGACCCATGATTACAGTTTGAATGTGTTACTTATCATGCATTAAAAATCTACTTGCATAAAGATAAAAATAAAAGATCTACTTGCAGATAGATAAGCAAATGGTCTGATTGCAATGAATAATGGTAAAAAAAGATATGACCCAAAAAATTTAAAGAACATACTGAAAAAGAAGAATGTTAGATTGAGGGAAGTTGAAAGTTTAAAAAGATAAGAGAAAATTTATAAGTACAAAGGTACTATAAACATAATACATTCGGATGGAAAGTTGAAGAAAACACACTTTAACAGACAATTTCTACAGCACACGGTTACATTTACGACAGAATTTATGTCGATAAAAAACATCTGATCTGAGTCCTAATCTCCAAAACTCCTGATCTTAGTTTCACAGTCCATCACATGTACATGTATGTGTACTGCAAGGTACCATACCACAAAGGGAAGGCTGGGATTGAGTTTGGGGATAATGAATCATAAGGGGGTTCAAAAAATTTGGGGGGGGGGATTTTTTTTTCCTTTTTTTCTTTAAAATTTTCCATTTTAAATTGGTTATTTCTGATTTATATATAAAGGCAAATAATAATGATATGGTTTGAACAGATAAATTAAAATTTTTTAAGTTCTTAGACCACATTTATTCTGTGTCAGAAACCTATGCTCGGTCAAATATTTAATTACAATCCAAATTCAGTGCTGTATCAAGCTTGAATGTTGTGTCCATACTTGCCCCAACTGTTCAGGGTTCGACCTCTGCGGTCGTATCAAGCTGCGCCCCAGCGGAGCATTTTATTGTATTTTGCAATAGAAATAATAGTGAGGACCAGCAGATTTTCTTCAAGGACCACCAGGGGAAAAAAGATTTTGAAAACTCTGGAAAGTTGAAAAAAGACACTTAGACAAAAGAAGTGCAAATATTAGACAAATTTGCAGATGATACTTGAAAAGCTTTTGTTGTTGTAAACTTTATCCAGTTTCATTCCTTCAACAATATACTGCATTATCCTTACTCTCCTCTATAAATATGATATTTATAAGGAAAAGGATTGTGCTAAATAAATATCTGGGAATCCAAGGTGTCCGTCACTGCTCTGCCAGTGGATGCCATTTTGGCCCAGAGACAGTTACACCAGATGTTTTCATGAATACTCATGAGGTTATCAGAACTTGCATATTTATAAAAGAATAGTATCAGAAACATATTCATTAAGATTAAACAAGACGAATAAGGATAAATTAAGTGTTTACTTTATATTTTATTTGTATCTTTTATTTTCAGCCAAACAGTTCATACAACCACATATAAAACCTATAATTTTAGGTAAGTTTAAATAGTTATTAAAAGTGGCTTATCTTCCAGTTGGTTCTTTATGTTGATTATGAGTCAAAGGTTATTAATGTAGAATATAAATAAAGAAAAATATGATTAATATAAAACATACTGATTAAACATAAATAGGGAGTTTGACATTAGATCGGGGAACTTTTAAAAGAATTATGGTTGGTCTGAAAGACATTCTTCCCCACATGCAATAAACCAGTTGATAGTTTTCTGATAAAATATGTTAGAGATAAGGTAATGTACCGTGTAAAAGTCTTTACAACATTTGCATATACAGTTCATATAATAAGAATTCTTTTCCTTAGAATGATTCAAATCAATTGCTTGTTCGCATAACCTTTGACCCATTATTTTTTTGACTGAAAGTCTATGAAGACATTTTTTTCTAGCTGTTTTCTATAAAAAAAAAAAAAACTATGTATTATGCATTAACAATTTCAAAATATTTTTTGACATTGCAAGTATTTCATCATTTGAAGAATTAAAAGGCATTTTAATGTGTACTGCACCCACATGCTTTTAATTGGTATAATGCAATGCTCTCTTGGCTTTAGCTGATGGAAGAAACTTATTAGGTTCTCTGTTAATTTTCCCAGAAATGACAGTGCTGTTGTTTTCTAGTAAAAGAAAGTTTTTCGAAATGCTGTCTTTGCAATGTTTTGATCATTTATTTAAATAGATTAATGAGTTGTTAATTGGGTCACCAAATGTATTTTGATATATTATATGTAAACATCACCTCATGGTAGAAAGCATGAATACAGTAATAAAGTTCAAGGAAGTACTCTCTAAGATTTTATATTTATTGTAGTGAACCCTACTATTATGCACATACAATTACCATTCATGTAAACTTACGTTTATGTGAAAATTGTGTATGCTAATAAAAAAATTCTGGGAATCCAAGGCGCCCGTCACTGTTATACCAGTGGACGCCATTTTGGCCCAGGGACAATCTTTTTAAAATAATGGTTTATTTATATTTGGATACAACTTTCTTTGTGTTACAATATTATATTCAAGATATTACAATGTATTTTCATGTGTATCAACATGGTGATACTTAACATTATCATATTACTTTGTTCATGAATGCATGTCTTAGTGTGTGTTGATTTGTTTCTATACTTTTTACTTAATAAAAATGGATTGTTTTGTAGAAGGCATTTTTGACAGTTATATATTCTGTTACTATTGTGCACATACAATTCCATTTGGAAATATTATCAAAAGGGCTTTTGGATATTTCATTGGTAATAAGAGTCTGATCAGTTCAAATCTGATATATCAGTTTTGTGTAATTTGATGTATATTGTGACTTAGTTCATTTATAAGTTTTGGAGTTTATTGTGACAGCCATTTTCACTGAACTAGTACACATTATTGTTTAGGGGCCAGCTGAAGCCTGCCATCTCGGTGCAGGATTTTCTCGCTGTGTTGAAGACCCATTGGTGGCCTTCAGCTGTTTTCTGCTCTTTGGTTGGGTTGTTGTTTCTTTGACACATTCCCCATTTCCATTCTCAATTTTATTGGCATTTGGGAAGAACAATACCTTTAAGAAAAGTATAGTACTTGGTATTCGAGTAACCATATAAATTTTAATGTATCCATTTTTTTAGCAAAAAATAGAATAATTTACAATTGATGTATTGCAGAATTATTAAATGTGATAAGAGAAACAGAAAGTGATGATTTAACGACTGTGATGCAAAGATTAGTGTGTACATATGTAGAGGAAGTGTCTACTTTAGCTGTAGAAATGATGACACATCTGGTAGGTAAAACATGAATATATCCCACATCTGGTAGATATAACATGAATATACCCAACATCTAGTAAGTATAACCTAAATATACCCCACATCTGGTAGGTTTAATATAAAGGTTATTTAAAAAAAAATCACAAACATTTATTTCCCTTCCTTAGCTTTTAGTCACAAGGATACAAGATGGGTATTGTAGAAATATTTGGGGATTGTATGCTTGTAGGTTGTCCCTAAATGATTACCATGAACTCATATATTTTTGTGATTTTCTTTTTAATATTGCGACAGTTGTGACTAGACAGTTTTGGCAAAAATTAAACCTTGCATTGAAAATTTAGATAGTATTATTTGTATGCATCGTTTTCTTAAATCACAATTTTTCTTGTATCTGAGTATTGTTCAGTGATTGCAATAATAAATGAACGGTCTCAATTTACAGTAAATGTTTTGGTCTGCAGGTAATGTTGTTTTACAGTCAGGCTTTATCTGTGTAAAGGGTCCAAAATAACTGCTTAGAACATATTATCATGTGAAAAAATACTGAAGATGTTAAAAAAAAAAGTTTTGCTATTGAATTTCTTCAATGATTAAGTAATTTTATTTGTTCCAGGCATCAACCTTTGCTCAGGTGATTGATGGTGATATCTCAGAATCCGAAGAGAAATCTATTACAGCATTAGGTTTACTCAATACCATGGAAACCATATTAACTGTCATGGAAGATCAAAAAGAGGTAGTAAATATTTTAATTTAAAAAAAAAAAAAGCACATCTTTAAAAGAAAATTTTATATAATTGATATTTAGAAGATATGGTATGATTGTCAATGAGACAACTCTCCAGCAAATGACAAAGATGTAAGCAACTATAGGTCACCATTGTACAGATTGTATAAGTACATGAATTTAATAAGATTACACAAGATGACTTTTACATCACTTCCATGTATGTTTAGATGTACAAAGATCTTAAAGATAGAGTGGAATTACACACGGTTTATTAGATTTTGAAACTAAATTCAGAGTATGATTGCACTTTTAATGTTCTTTATGACATCAAATGTCTTGGAAGAGCAACGATGCTGGTGCTAAAATGATGTTGATATTTAGAGGTGTTACTATTCTACTATGATAGTGATATCCAGCTATATCACACAAAAATAATAAATTACTGTCTAAGTTATTCTGAAAATTCTGAACCTATTACAAAACAACTGCAGTTGCAAAATAAAATAAAAATTAAAGGAAAAATGTCCGTTTACATAAGTTTTTTCCTGCTTAAGTACATTCACAGAATAAAGACTGAAATCTAATAAAAGAATGGTTGTTTTAAATATGTGATCAATAATGGTTAATGTTACCAACAATTTATAAGCCAGGGCATTCCTTAAATATCTGAAGAGGCAATCACTGCATGATAAAAAAGTATAAATGCTTTATGGTAGTGTGGGGGTATAAACAAAAATTGACCACATTATTTGATTCTTAATACATTCCAAAATATAGCTTATATTGTGCTATGTTCAAAATATATTAACAAGCATAGAACAAGGAGCTAATTGTGAAAAATTTACACATTTGTTAAGGAATATACATGGAAAAAGCATTATCTGTGAAAAGAAAAAAACTAAATGACATAATTTGGAATAAAATATGAGATGATGGCAATGGGTTCATCATATTATTTTTCTTGCTTTTAATAATGACAATGGAACATAAAGTTCATTTTCAAGAAAAAATATTGTGGGAATTATAAAATAGAAATGTTCATCATATATAGAACATATTTGCACAACAGTATATCTCGTCACAGTTGATCGTACACTTAAAATGTTTGTAGTGTTGAAAGCAGGTTATCTATTCTAAACCTTTTCCAGATTTAAAGAATAGTAAAATATGTTAAAAGAAAAATTATTTTACTAAAATACATATATTTTGTTTTTGCTATTGTAGATTATGTTACAATTAGAGGGCATTGTTTTAAATGTGATAGGTGTTATTATGCAAAAGGAAATTATGGGTAGGTACCTTTAACATTTAACTTGCAGTTAATATTTTTACTAAATAGCTGTTTTTTTCTGGATATATTGCAATTTCTACAAGGAACTCTCAGGGAATTTCTGATTAAGCCACCTTACAGTTTTACAAGGAACTCTCAGGGAATCCCTGAGTAAGCCCTACCTACAGTTATACAAAGAACTCTCAGGGAATCGCTGATTAAGCCACCTTACAGTTCTACAAGGAACTCTCAGGGAATCCCTGAGTAAACCCCACCTTACAGTTATACAAAGAACTCTCAGGGAATTGCTGATTAAGCCTCACCTTACAGTTCTACATGGAACTCCCAGGGAATCGCTGATTAAGCCAAACCTTACAGAAGAGCAAAGATGCTGAGTGCTAAAGTAATGTTGATATTTAGAGGTGTTGCTATAGATGATAGTGATAACAAATAAATAAGTTACTAATTGTTTACCACAAAGTTACTGTATATCATCTTTATCTGCATTTGTTGTAAACGCTTTCATGTTGAATTTTCTCATTAGACCTATACTTGACCAAACAAAAAGGAGTGGGCATATTGTTTCAAAAAATCCCAATAAACCACTTAATACATTTCACTGAAACTACAGAATACCTGGCTAAACCAAAAGTAGGTATTTAGTTTCCAAATCCACCCCCATACCACTGAATTGATTACATTGAAACTTTCTTTACTTTACCTTTATAAAATTTTGCAATTGTGCAACTACCTTTCTTCTTTTTCATCCGATTTAATTTTAGGGTTTTTCATAAGACATGAATTAGACAAGATTAAACAGGATGGCTCTTACTTAAGTCTTTTCTATTACACAGAGTTTATAAGATTCTAAACTAAATTCAGAGTATGATTGCACTTTAAATGATCTTTATGACATCAAATGTCTTGGAAGAGCAACGATGCTGGTGCTAAAATGATGTTGATATTTAGAGGTGTTACTATTCTGCTATGATAGTGATATCCAGCTATATCACACAAAAAGAATTAATTACTTACTGTTTACCTATAAACTGCAAGGTTACTGTATATCATTTGTCTCTCTTCCTGCAGAAGCCATATAGGGGAGAGTAGGTGTCTTTTTGGGTAAAGATTGCATTTCATGCAATCAAAACCCTATGGTACTGACTTGATATCTAAATCTTCCAAGGTTTATCACTACTTTTGAGATACTGTGGATTCATTAATTTTCGTGGGTATCAATTTTCGTGGATAGAGAAAAAAAGACGTTTCGTGGTATACGTAAATTCGTGGATCGCTGATCACAAAAAAAAAATAAATTCAGATTCGTAATTCGTGGATTTCTTTTTTGATTTAGGAGATCATATAACCTCCTTAGTTTGATCAGTAATAAAACAAACAAAAAAGAAGGAATTCATTGAAAAAGTTTTGAATTGTCAAAATCCTCGCTTGGTCATTCTAAGTTAAAGTGTTCATTGAAAACTTCTATTACAATAATGGACAGAGACAACTAATTATTTGTTTGTTTTACAATTTATAAATTCTTGTCGGAATTTTATAAGACATTCAAAACTCTATGATTGAAAGCTCATTTCCCTAATCACGATATAATAAACAGTCATATAAGTAAAAGGTGTGAAAATAAATGTTCCTGTCATAAACAATATTACCTACGGGCAATATCCCCGTACTTAATCCTATTGATTTTTAATCATCAGTAAACCAAACTATGACACGGTAATTAACAACTTGCAGTTATTTTCCATGAACAGTTTTAATCAATTTTAAAAAGTAAATTATCACTGATATTCGATATATTTATTATTGATTTAATCAAAATACTTGTATTTTCTTTCAATAAAAACACGTGTTATGTTACAATGTTTATCGCTAGTCAACACTATACATGAACTGCATAACATAACCGGAAATAAACATCCGACTCCATACACATTTCTCAGGATTATTCTTCGTTGAATTCTTAAATTCGTGGTTCGCTGTGACCCACGAAACCCACGAAAATTGGTATACCACGAATAAAAATGAATCCACAGTACACAAAATATAGTTCATTGATCATAACATTCTATACATGAACATTTCCAGAAATTTATCAATGAGATATATGCTCAGATATTCAAGTTACAAAATGATGTTATACTGGTCAAGACCTTGTTCAAGGTGCAGGAATCTAATATCTGGTCTAAAAATATCAAAAGATGTTATTGTTAAAGTAATCTTTAAAATTGGAGTTATCTTCCTTTGTCCATAATTTTAGTTGAATCAACTACAACCAATGCTTTATACCATGCAATATTTAATTTTACTGCCCACTGATAAATTCTGAAACCATTCTGTGCTTACAAGCACTTTGATTTGTGCTTTTGTTGTTTATAAACTTCTATTGTCTTGCAGTATGAGTTCATAAGGATTTCAAAGAAATTTCTACAACCCTGGGCTTGTGGGTATGTGGTCAATTTTGAAGACTGAAAACTTCATGTGAAATTTTCTTATTAGACTTATTTGGTCAACTCTAAGGAGTAGCCATATTGTTTCCAGGAATCCCCCTAAACAACTGAATGGATTTCAATTTTCTTCATAGAATCTTGTATATTGTGCAATTTTGTAGTTCCATTCTCTTTTCTCATCTGAAATATATTTGGAGTTTTGCATAGAAAAACATGGTCTTTTTGAGTCTTATCTTTTAGTTTTAAATTCAGGTATACCTAAGAATGTACAAGTACATGAATTTGATAGGATTACACCTGATGACTCTTGCATCACATCCATGTCATGTTTAGATATATCAAAATCTTAGAGGAGTCTTTTGGATTACACAGTTTATAAGATTTTGAAACTAAATTCAGATTACGATTGCACTTTAAATGATCTTTATGACATCAAATGTCTTGGAAGAGCAACGATGCTGGTGCTAAAATGATGTTGATATTTAGAGGTGTTACTATTCTGCTATGATAGTGATATCCAGCTATATTACACAAAAAGAATAAATTATTGTTTACCTGTAAACTGCAAGGTTACTGTATGTCATTTGTCTCTCTTCCTGCAGAAGCCATATGGGGGAGACTAGGTGTCTTTTTTTGTGCTTTTGTTGTTTATAAACTTCTATTATCTTGCAGTATAAATTCATAAGGGATTCTAAAAAAAGTTTTACAACCCTGGGCTTGTGGGGATGTGGCCAATTGTGAAGCCTGAACACTTCATGTTAAATTTTCATATTAGACTTGCCTGGCCAAACAAAAAGGAGTAACTATCTTGTTTCCACTTACACATCCCCCTCAACTACTGAATGGATTTCATTGAAAGTTTTGACACAGAATCTTTATTATATTTTGCAATTGTACACCTTACTAATTTTACATCTAAATTATATTTGGAGTTTTGCATAGAAAAACATGGTCTTTGTGAGCCTATCTTTTAGTCTTAAGTTCTGGTATACATAAGATTGTATAAGTACATGGATTTAATCAGATTACACAAGATGACTCTTGCATCAACTTCCATCTCATGTTTAGATGTATAGAAATCTTAAAGATCGAGTGGAATTACACTGGGTTTATCAGATTCTGAAACTAAATTCAGAGTATGATTGCACTTTTAATGTTCTTTAGGACATCAAATGTCTTGGAAGAGCAACGATGCTGGTGCTAAAATGATGTTGATATTTAGAGGTGTTACTATTCTGCTATGATAGTGATATCCAGCTATATCACACAAATAGATTAAATCACTTTTTGTTTACCTGTATACCGCTAGGTAACTGTATATCATTTTTGTCCCTTCCTGCAGAAGTCATACAAGGGAGACATAGGTGGGTTTTTTTGTGCATTTGTCTTGCAGTAGAAATTTGTAAGGAGTGTGAAGAAATTTTTACAAGTCTGGGCTGGTAAGCATGTGGCAATTTTTGAAGACGGAACACTTCATGTTAAATTTTTCTTGTTAGAATTATTTAGTCAAACTTTAAGAGTAGCCTTTTTGTTTCCAGAAATCCCCCTTAACAACTGAATGGATTTCATTTCAAATTTCTTCACATAATCTTATATATTTTGCAATTTTGCAGTTCCTTTTTCTCTTTTCAACTGAAATATATTTGGAGTTTTGCAAAGAAAAACATGAACTTGATAAGATTACACCTGATGACTTTTGCATCAGTTTCATGTCATATAAAGATGTATCAAAATCTCAAGTCTTTTGGATTACACAGAGTTTATAGGTGTAATACCACCATTGATTTTCCCCTATTAGTCTTTGTTAAAATTGCACTTTTCAAAAAATTGTGCAGAATTTATCTTTGTTTCAAATAAAGAAATACTTGGCATGAGTAAACTTTTATCCTGTCCAGTACTATAAAAAAAATTTCACATAACATTTCATTGCATATAAGAAAATAACCATCACTGGAAGTTAACCAATCAAATTTTCCCTCTTTTTTAACCTGTGTACAAGCTTTAGTAACCATGTAACCTCAAGTTTCCAAAATATTCTATAGAAACCCCAAGTAAAAAATTAATGGTGCTTTGAAATACCCAAGATATATGTTTATGACCAAGAAATGTTTTACTGCAATGAAATGTAGGATCAATTATCTACAACTGTCAAATTCAAGGGAATATTTTTTTTCGACCTATTTTCGTATGCAACCAGATGTGACGTACTATGATTTGGTGGTATTACACCTAAAGAAGACTTTTTTGTTAAATAAACTGAATGTGACTTTTTTCCTTTGTAATACTGGTTATTTCAAGCATTCCTGTCAAGTTTTGTCATAATCAGTTCAATAGTTTGAGAAAAATCTAGTATAATGTAAGACGACATCTACAGCGATTCGAGCAAAATTTCTTCGAAAATTCCAAACCAAGCCGCATCATGATAGAATATAGTGTGGACCAATAAATGATCAAATATTTATCTCATCTGCCTACAAACAGTTGAATATGATACAAAAGATGACTTTAGGATGATAAATACTACTAATGGACCTCTTTGTCTTCCTTCTAAGGTCTCTTTTGGTCCATTTATACCTCTCATTTCCTCAAAATTTCTACTTTTTAGGCCAATAAATAAAAATTTTGGGGTAACTTTCACTCATTTATGATAGAAATGTTATAATAAATGATTAATTGAAGTATTCAAGCTGAATGAACTATCCATATAAAAGTTTACTGTCTCCAAGGCGGTTTCAATAAGTCCTTACGTAAAACTTAAATTTACGCCGTGTACCAGAGAGGGACATAAAAAGCTTCTTTTTTGGTGAATAATTTGTTGTTACTGCTTTAAAAATAATTTCATTTACTTAAAACTATATATTTGATAAAGAATTTCTTAGGAAAAATTTTCTAGTATAGCAGAATATAAGAAATAAGGAGAAAAGGCTCCCCAAAACTCTAAGTATGGCTTCTTCTGTCAACTAATATTCATGGTAAAGTCCTATTTCAAGGAAATTTTCTCATAAAATGTGTTTTGGAGACTCAATCTACTCAGAATATTTCATTATTTGTAATATTTCACTTAAATAGCAAGAAATTTTAACACATGAGAGTACTCACAAGGTCAAAGGTGCATGTACAGCTTCCCATATTAGGTGTAATACCACCATTGAATTTCCCCTATTAGTTTTTGTTAAAATTGCACTTTTCAAAAAATTGTGCTGAACTTATCTTTGTTTCAAATAAAGAAATACTTGGCATGAGTAAACTTTTATCCTGTCCAGTACTATAGAAAAAATTTCACATAACATTTCATTGCATATAAGAAAATAACCATCACTGGAAGTTAACCAATCAAATTTTCCCCCTTTTTTAACCTGTGTACAAGCTTTAGTAACCATGTAACCTCAAGTTTCCAAAATATTCTATAGAAACCCCAAGTAAAAAATTAATGGTGCTTTGAAATACCCAAGATATATGTTTATGACCAAGAAATGTTTTACTGCAATGAAATGTAGGATCAATTACCTACAACTGTCAAATTCAAGGGAATATTTTTTTTCGACCTATTTTCGTATGCAACCGGAAGTGACGTACTATGATTTGGTGGTATTACACCTATAAGATTTTGAAACTAAATTCAGAGTATGATTGCACTTTTAATGATCTTTATGACATCAAATGTCTTGGAAGAGCAACGATGCTGGTGCTAAAATGATGTTGATATTTAGAGGTGTTACTATTCTGCTATGATAGTGATATCCAGCTATATCACACAAAAATAATAAATTACTTCCTGTTTAAGTTATTCTGAAAATTGTGATATCCAGCTGTATCAAGTGTTATGTATTTATAGATTTCTATGAGGAGATGTTATCATTGGTGTACAGCTTAACCAGTTCCCATGTATCAGTACATTTATGGCAAGTGTTCCAGATGTTGCATACTATGTTCCAGAAAGATGGCATTGATTATTTCACAGGTTTGTATAGTTATCAGGGATTATGGAATGACATTATATTGTATGAGAATATAAGATGTGGTAGTATTGTCAATGAGACAACTATTCATTAAAATCCAAAGGAAAAAAGATGTAATCAACTACAGTTCAACCAACAGCCTTCAACAATGAACAAAACCCACACTGAAGCTATAAAAAGACTTACATGGCAAAATTTTAAACAATTTAAAAGAATAAGCAGTCTTGATTAATATTACAATTGATTAAAAAAAAAACCAAAAAAACAAATGGGTAATGCCATTTCACTAACAAAAAAATAGCTTGGATGTTGTAATTTACCTGAAACACAGTGAATAATATGCTTCAAGCATATTATTCTTTAAAAGAAGTTGAACGAAAATAACCCTTTACATCCTCAATAATGATACATTAGATGAATGTACCTGGATTGTCTGAATAATCTCTATTATAATCAGTAGAAGGCAGATACTTTGATCTTAATTTTTCTTTGTATTTGAATTCCTATCAGAAAACAAAATTGTCTTAATTGTCAGGGCTTGCTTAAAAGTGTTAATTTCGTGGAGGTAATAGAGGGATTTCTTCCCTGCTAAACACCCATCAGGTTCTAGGAAATTCGTGCAATACCAGTCTAGTGATGAATATGCACTTTGTATTATGTTACAATGATTATATTGTTAGACACTCTAATTTTTTTCTGAAGACTGGATTCTCATTAAATGCTATTTCATCAGAATAATTTTAAGCACTACTAAAGTTCAGGCCTGCGACGAAAGTAGAGGAAAGCGTCAAAAATTGTTAAGTTTTCTGCTTAAGTTAGTTTGATAGGAACTACTTGTGATAGATCAATGATATTTACTATGAAGTTTGACGATTTTTTTGTGGCCCTGTCCCCTAGGACATGGTCCAGTGACTTTGAATTAATAAACAATTTTCAATGTTAAGTTTTCTGTTTAAGTTAGTTTGATAGGATCTACTTGTGATAGATCAATGATATTTTGCATGAAGTTGCATTATGATCAGTTAATATCAGTTTGATGACTATTTCGAGGCCCTGTTTCCTTTGTCATGGACCAGTGACTTTGAATTCATAAGCAATTTTTAATGTTAAGTTTTTCTGCCCAGCCCCCCGTTTTGTGGGAAAAATTTGGTTGATTATTTAGGGAATCACTGAAGCATGACTAAGTCCCCCCCCCCCCCCCCTTATAAAAATGTCTGGATCTGCCACTAGGTTCCTTCCTTTACAAAGCAAATGCCATAAGCAAAGTGGATTGTCTGGCCTGTGACAATTATTTTAACATTGTGCTTTGTACCTATATGGTAAAAAGGGACGCTAACTACGATTTTAATAAAGTTGTGCAGTTTGGATGTAAAAAATCTTAATTATTCATATATTGAAGGTTTGTAAAACTTCTGGCCCATTGCATAATGTTACAAAATGATAATTCTTCAAACTTAGTGTTCATCAAGACATTATCCTTCCATAAGTTTTGCATTAGGAGGAAACAGTTCTAAATTGGAGTGGGTTTTTTTTGCCAAAAAAATAAAGCTAAATTTTGAACCAAAGATTTAATAATTGGAAAACAAACCACAGCTTTGCTTTAATGTAATAAATAATCCTAGATAAGAGACAAATTAATGAGAATTATCTTTATTTACTTGTAAAAGTTCAACTTAAAAGGGCACAATAAGACTATTCTTGACAGCTTAACAGTCACCGTTTGTGCTCCTTCCATAAGTTTTATATTGAGAGGAGTTATCTTCCTTGCCAAAACTTCTTAATTAAGAATGAAATGTTATTTTTTGAAAAAAGACCATTGCTTTGCCATAATGAATATATATATAAGTTTTGCAGCTAAAATTAAAATTACCTCCCTTTATTTGCTTGTTTTAAGATGATTTGAAGGAGTAAAGCAAATTGGAGTGGGAGACAACTGAGGAATTATTAAACTTGTTAAATGATATGAATGTAAATTGTTTTTTCCAGAAAATATATAGAAATCATTGAAACATTTTTAAAAAAGTGAAGAAGAGATTGTTAATAAATACCTTTGATATTGTTTCATTCTGGTTTCATTTGGCTGTGGTAAAAGATGTTAAGTCTTAAGAATTCTGTGTTGCAAAATCTTATATTATATTTGACTGCCCCAGTGAGTTATGTAACTCATGGGCATAGACATTTGAGGGGTGAGAAGTAAGTTATTGTTTAAATGTGGTCTCATCTCTAGGTTAATTCCTGTTTTTAAAGACTAACACAAGGCCATTGAAAATTGAATGTATGTATCCCCTTATACAAGATATTAAATGGCATGTATGAAAAACTTTTTATTTTGCTTTATTTTTTTGGCAAAAATTTAAACAAGGCACATTCAAAAACAACTTCTTTCACATTATACCTGTATAATGATCTACATTATGATATAAGCCATTTAAAACTTTAAGAAAGACAAATGAAACTTTTTAAAAGAAATTATAAGACAATCAAACCTTGTGTCTTAAAAGAGAGTCTTGGTCCTTTTTCATCTATTAAAAAAAGAAAAAAAATTGACCCAGAGGTTAAAAACAGACCCCCAGGGTTAAGGGAAACCAAAAATCTTCTTTGAATGGCCTATCCAGTCTCTTATGTTAATTTGAAATTTTGAAAACATCTTGTTTCATTTTTATGCCCCCGCCGTAGCCTACATAGTTCCCTTAAATAACTTTGCCAATTGAAACAAAAAATTTGCCTCGTTCATTCTTGGAGTATCTAGTGTTAGTAATGTCTGGTAATCCAACCTTCTAACCAACATGAGTTACATGGTTAAAGAAGAGAAGGGGTAAAAGGCAAGTATTGTTTAATATCTTGAAACTGTTATAGAAAGAGAGAATTCCGATCAGGCAAGATTTCGAGATCTACCTACTCACTATTTTGGCCCATATTATTTGGTGAATTCTTATAGGAGATATTGCCTTAAATGATGATTTTTTTTACCTCTTTTTTGGCACTCAAGGAGGGTTAACAGTTCTGTACTTAGCAGAAGCAACTACTTTGATCTAAATGTGATTCTTCTCTGTTGCTGAATTCATATTAACAATTCATACTCCTGCCTGGAGTGGATAATTTTAAAGGGTTATTGAGGGATGTTCCCCCTTAGTAATGTAAAATATAAACATCCTTGCAACTCTATGAAATTTGTGAATTACCAGTCTAGTGATGAATATGCACTTTCTATTATGTTACTATGATTATACTGTTAGACACTCTAATTTTTTTCTGAAGACTGGATTCTCATTAAATACTTTTTCATCAGAATAATTTAAAGCACTACTAAACTAAAGTTAAGGCCTGCGAAGCGAGACATAAAGATTGCTTTTACGACTCGGGCGTCAACATTTGTTAAGTTTTCTGCTTAAGTTAGTTTGATATGAACTACTTGTGATACATCAATGATATTTACTATGAAGTTGCATTACTATCAGTACATATCCTAGATAAGAGACAAATAAATGAGAATTATCTTTATTTACTTCAAAGTTCAACTTAAAAGGGCACATTGAGACAATTCTTAACAGCTTAATCACCGTTGCTCCTTTCATAAGTTTTACACTGAGAGGAGTTATCTTCCTTGCCAAAACTTCTTAATTAAGAATGAAATGGGTTTTTTTTTTTAAATAAACCATTGCTTTGCCATAGCGTCAAAATATATATGTAAATTTTGCAGCTAAAATTAAAATTACCTCCCTTTATTTGCTTGTTTCAAGAAGATTTAAAGGAGGAAAGGAAATTGGAGTGGGAGACAACTGAAGAATTATTAAACTTGTTAAATGATATGAATGTAAATTGTTTTTTCCAGAAAATATATAGAAATCATTGAAACATTTTTAAAAAAGTGAAGAAGAGATTGTTAATAAATACCTTTGATATTGTTTCATTCTGGTTTCATTTGGCTGTGGTAAAGATTTAAAGTTCTAAGAAATCTATGTAGCAAATTTTTGCTTTATATTTGACTGCCCCAGTGAGTTATGTAACTCATGGGCATAGACATTTGAGGGATGAGAAGTTAGTTATTGTTCAAATGTAGTCTCATCTCTAGGTTAATTCCTGTTCTGAAAGACTTACACGAGGCCATTGAAAATTGAATGTATGTATCCCCTAACACAAGATATTAAATAGCATGCAGGGGTTCAAATTTACTTTAAGCAATTGAAGGTCCCGGACCTTTGACCAAAGATACTTTAAAAGTCCTCCTTTATTCTTAGAAGGTCCAATGTTTTTTGAAAATTCATTTTATAAAAATAAAAAATGCTTACCAATACCATAACAAAACACCCATCTAATTACTACATTAACCTCATTTTTTTTATTAAATAAATTCAGTCAGAAAAAAAACTTCCCCTTTTTCCAACACTATATGCTGTGTTAAATAACACTTTGTACCTTTATAATTGGTTTGATTTCAATTACTGCTTAAGAGCACTGGCCTAACTTTGTGTCAGATGACAGCTCAACTTCGTTTTCAAACTTGGGGTCAGTTTCTTTGAACCACTTTTTTTGGCAAGATACATAGATGCTGGGTGGTTATTTTGCATCATGATTTTTGATGGGGTCAAGTTTAATTTTTGTTTCCCAATGAACCAGGGCACTTTCCCTTTCACTGTATGTGAGAAAAATTACGTTCTTGTTTTTCCTGTCGTATTTTTGGGCTGCGTTAAGCGGTTTCATCAATCATTCCCTTTGTATGCCCTATCAGGTTTTCTTTGGAAGGGGTCACTCCAAAACCAAACAGACTCATACCGTTTACTGGTTATGTTTTAATATTATATTCTCGAGTTTCCTGGGATCTTGTATGACGACCTGTCACATGACTACACTGTACACATCAATTCAATGAGGTCTCATTCAATAAACTATTTTCATATTAATGACTTTTGACCCCGGATTATATAATTTTTCGACAGGTTACCTTTTCTGTGAGACATCCTGGTACTCGGTCAAGTAAGTGCAACCAAAAGAAGAAAAATCA